ATATATATATATATATATATATATATATATATATATATATATATATATATATATATATATATATATATTCGAGAGAATTCAAAATAATTTGAAACTAAACCATAACACAATTGTACAATTTGAATGTGTAAATACAACATTATAACATTAGTTATATATTTATTTATTTAGTTTTGCTTGCGTACGATATTTGGTCAAATTTATTTGATAGGAATTGAATAAAACCTTTATACAGGCTGATTAACTACCATCCACTGAAATAACTACTGTTAACCTGACGTCATTTCCCCCAACGATTTCGCAACGATATACCCATCCTATTTTATAAATTTTATTTGATGTTTTTTAATTAGTCAGGTCACAATCATCATCATCGATATCGCAATGAAATCAAATTGAGAATTTTTTAAATTTTTAGAAAAAGTATCTTTATTAATTTTGTTCAATAAGATAATGTTTGATACATATAACTAGAATAAATATAACGGCCTTCGCTCACTTTCAACGGTCAAACATGGAGCTTACTTCTGGAGGGAAGATGGAGGGTGATTTTTTTTATCGTTCGAGTCAAAAGTTACGATAGTATATTTACTAATTACGGAATATTGCTTTTATTTAAAATGTTAAAATTTCATTTTTTTAAATTGTTATTCAATATGGTAATTAATTACTTTTATTTGGTATAAATTTAAACCATATAATTAGAATAGATAGAACCATACCTTTGTCTTCTATGGTTCTTTTCTTTAATTTTAAATTTTATTAACAAGCTGTTGTCTATGTATTCAACGCTCATGGCGATATAATGGCGACAACAGTCAGGAGGATTCGACACGCCGATCGAAAAAAGTGATCATCATTTTTCATCCTTTTTCCTATAGCTTATAAACAAAAATAGATTTTTGGTTGAATTTTTGGAACTTAACGGATGAAACGTTCATTTTAATTTTTTAAATTTCCATATTATATTTTATTTTTATAATATTTATTTAATAACAATTTTATTATAAAATAAATATGATTTGACTTATTTTGCAATTTTATGCTTATCAGGTTAATATAATTTGCAAAATAAAAACTTCAGTTAAATGTTTCTAGCTCTTATTTTATTTTTATTCATTATTTATTATGCAAGAAACCAATTTTTATTTTATACTTTGTATCACTAATAAAATTTATTGACTATTATTTAATAAATAATTATAGAATAGAGATAAACTATAGCAGTACACTTTCTGAAGTGGTTAAAACGTCAAATGATAAATAGTCAAATACTATTAAATTTTAAATATGAATATGAGCTATAAAATAAATAAAGTATAAATTCATTATAATTGTTAGTAACTTCAGAAAATTATTAAAAATTAAATAAAATCTACTTTCATTTTTATCTAACAAGGCAGTTTTCTTAACAAATTTTTTTTTCTGTGGGAAATGGAATTGGAAATGGAAATATTTTGGTACTGGTAGTTATATAATGAATGTGCTATCTAATAATTGGACAGTTTTGTAGTTAATCTGCAATTATATAAAATTAAATTAAATTGTTTATGCCTGCTGATGCTTTGTGATGGTTGATTTTATTCTTTAACATTGATTTTGAAAGTATTATGTGGGTGACTGAGTCAGAAGTATATATGATGGCCTTGTTAATGTTTTTTTTAGAAATAAATCAAACCACAATGTCAAACTTAATCAGGAAATTTTTATATTAATTTTTTTATTCCTTTATCTTGTTTTTTTTCTTTTATTTGTTTATTTATATTTATTCAGGAAGCAGAATGATGATGGTGACCATGAATTGAAATCAAAGAAAGGTGTTGCAGATGTGGATCCGTGCTGGAGTCCTTCATTGCACACTGCATTCAAAGTTCTCCTGTCTGCTCGACTCAGTTCAGCCATTTGGAGCAACATCTCTGATTGCGATGAGACCTACAATTATTGGGAACCTGTAATTCTATCATACTCATTTTCAGATGTTTTCAATAAAAAAAATGTTCATTCTCCATCTATTAAATGTTAAACATTTTTTATTTTTTGAGTTAGTTAGTGGAAGAATAAATAATTATTATTATCAGTTATGTTAAACAATATTTTATTTATTTAGAGTTTGTTTTTGTAATGAATTAGCTTCTGCATAGTCAGGCAAATTTTGTTGAATACAGCATAATATTCCAATATCATACCAGACCCACTTTTTACTGCACAATTACGGATTTCAAACGTGGGAATACTCTCCTGCCTATGCAATCAGATCATATGCTTATCTCTGGCTCTATGCTTGGCCTCTTAAACTAATTGAACATTTTTTAAAATATGACAAGGTGTGTGGATGCTATGTGTATATTTTTTATTTAACTCATTTTTTCTAATTATATACTTAATCAATTATGTATGTATATAACTTATAGTGATTCGTGTACCTTCAATATATGTGTGCGTGGGCATTTATTGTCAGGTAGTGCAGTTCATTGTCTTGAGGTGTTTCCTGGCAATCGTTTGTGTCATCTGTGAAACTTTCTTCTACAAGTGATAATTATATTTTCCGTTGTTGAAACATTTTTAAATGAAGCTTATATAAATAGTACACAACATACTGTTGTAATCGCTGGAATGGTGGAATTACACTATATAATTAATAATTGTTATCTTGTTATATTTGTTATCTTCGCTATTTGTCATTGATTGTAAACCATAGAATCTTTTCATACTGTAAAAGATTGTAAAAATCTACTGTAGAGGCCATATAAGGGGCAGTGAGTAGTGACATCAACAGCGAGGTTTGAAACGAAGTCGTGATTGTGATTTACGTAGTTACTTGAATTAGTTTAGTGCTTCTATTTCTGTTGGCATTCAAATAAACGTTCAACTAAGTTTGCGTTTGAAGCAGTTGTGTTCATCTATCAAAAATCTTGAACCTACGGAATAATGAACACTTGACGATCGTTGGAAGCTACAACACTGGTGTTAGAAATATAGAACTTTTTGAAGTTATAACATTGGTATTGGTAGTAACGAGCGTTTAAAGTGCATGGCTTTATTCTTAAATTTTTTTGAATGCATACTAAATTGCAACATACATGACAGTATTTTAAGTGTTAAATATGTTGAATTTTCAAATTATTTTCAAATTTATCATACATATTATTTGCTTGTTGGATGGTAAAGTCTAATTTTTTTTACAACTAAAGCAAAAGTTTTTTTCACATTTTAAAACTCACAAAACAGATCCATCCAGTATAAATATGGCAACAACATAAGCAGATTATGCCTCCTGGTAATGATGTTTAGCCCAGGAATGTTCATATCATCAACTGCTTTCCTGCCTAGCTCGTTCACCATGTACACGACCATGTTGTCGTGGTCTTGTTGGTGGTGCTTCCATTCATATGCACTCTCCATATTCTTCGTTGCTTTTGGCTCTCTGCTAGGCTGGCCTTTTGCAGTTGCATTGGGGTTAAGTTAATTATTATTTGTTTGAATTTTTTTTGTTAAAGATAGTACTTATTGATGTTGAATACTGTGAAAATACTTCGAGAAGAAAATTGTTATTGAACGTTTGGAAAGCTTTTACTATAGTTTTTTAAAATAGTCTTTTTCAAAAAGAGGTTTAATGATTTATAAATATTTAAAATTATTTACATATGCAACAGAACTAACGTTAAAAACATTTCAGTGTGCCAATTGCGTTTGATATGGTATTTCTTCAGAGAAAAGTTTTGAAATTTGTCTTTTGGTCCATAGTAGCTTTGATTCTTTGTCTGGTGGGTTATTTGTATTTAAAAAATTGTTTTTTATTTACTGTTTTCTTCGTTTGAATAATGATTTTTAAAATTTTATTTAAACTTTTATTTTGTTGAAATAATTTCTTGAATTGTTAAGTTTTTTTAAGATTAAAAAACTATAATCATTAAAGACTCCTTTGATCCTAATTGATTCATATTACTATGGCAAGTTGGTTGTGGCTCCATTCAACATAATTCTGTACAATGTATTCAGTGAACATGGCCCTGATCTGTATGGTAAATTTTTTTATTATATTTTAAAATTATTTGCTGTATTTGTTTTTATTTCTTAGTTGCATTGGTGGATTTGTTATGTTAAGTTGAAATTTGTTAACATCTTTTTAATAATTATCGATTATCATCATTGAAGGGTGGATTTAATTTTCATTTCATTTGTATTTTGTGCTAATTTTAATCTGGTGAAATAAAATGAATAAATATCTTATCATTTCGAGAGCGAAAAATATAAGTTTTTGAAAATATTAATGTAACCGCTTTTAATTCTCTTTGCTGTTTTATCATGAATGTTTGTTTATTTATGACTTTTTAAAAAATATGCAACTTATCGTTTGGAAACTACATTTAATTATGAACCTTACTCGTGTGCAGATGGATAAATTAAAAAATTATTGGCCGTTTTTCGTGCATTCATCATATGATCAGTCTCTAAAATTTTAGGTTCCTGTAAAAAGTCTCATTTCTGACACTTTGACCACAAATGTAAGCTGAAAGATGTGATTAGATTATTTGAGACCAAAAAGAATATGAATCAAGCAAGTTGAGTTTGAAGATAAGTGAACGAGTTAGATTATTATGTTCCAAAGCGAATAACTTTTTAATCAACAAACATGCCATTGAGTTGAAGGTAATCACGATGAAGATCATAAGTTGTTATATTTGTTCATTAATTAATTCATTGATCAATAAATTAATTAATTCATCAATAATTCTGAACCTAATGAATCAATTCAACGCATAGGTGTTGAGCCCTGGACTTTCTACTTTTTCAATTCCTTCTTAAATTTCAACTTTGCATTTCCTCTGGCCTTAATTTCTCTGCCTATTTTGGTTGGTGAACTTTTTTATTTAATAACTTTAAAAAATTATCAAGCTTTTAATTTGTTGACATTTTTTCAGTTAATTGACTCTTTAGTTAAAGGAAAATACAACTTCCTAAAAGGTTTGATCCATTTTTTATTTTTATTCTACGGCATTTGATTCATATATATTATATTTCAATTAATATCAAATTTTTCAAACCATCTTTTCTAAGGTGACAGTACATCAATACTAGGCATGTACATCTGGATTGCTGTCTTTTTCACCAGACCTCATAAAGTTATTAGTTGTGATTGACTTGATGAAATTGTTTTAGAATTAAAAATTACTAACAGTTTATTAATGCTCTGCTGTGAATTATAAGCGCTTTTTAAAGTGTGAATATGGATGAAACATTTTTATTCGTTTGAGTCACGTTTGGCTATTAATTAAAAGTTGTTCATAGTATTGAATGAAAATTAAAAATATTTCAATAGGAAGAACGATTTCTTTTTCCAATGTATCCTTTGATATGTCTGTGTGCTGCTATTACAATTGACTACATTCAGGTCAGTGCTTCTTTTAATACAATATTAAGTTGCTTACTGTTATTATTTTTGTAAAACATTGGACTTTTTATTACGAACGTACAGAGATTTGTACATTATTTGATTGCAACAACGAAGACTGCCACCGCCCATCTTCGACATCACACGTCATCTACAAATATTTTGACTGCGATATTTTCTGCATTTTTTGTAGCTTTCGCGCTTTCAAGAATATTTTCCCTTCACAATGGTTTGCAGTTGGCTTTCAGATTCTTCTTTTTGTCGTTATTTTATTAATAATTTTGTTTTTTAACAAAGGTTATCATGCTCCTCTGAAAATTTATTCAAATTTGAACAAGTTGTTACTGGAAAATAAATTTACATGGATTAGCAAGCATGGTGACAAAAAAACAAGCAATCAAAATATACTCAATATTTGTGTTGGCAAGGAATGGTACCGATTTCCCAGTCACTTTTTTCTTCCTAACAAGTATTGAATTCTAACATTCAAACTCGTTTTCAGTCTCTTACTCAGTTTAATTATTGCAAGAGTTAACTTTTCTTTCATTATTTTTCTGATGTAATATTTCAAAAGTTGCTTTTGGGTGTGCAAAATGGTTCACAATCTATATTTGTCTTCTCTAGTATATTTTTTGAACACAAACATGTCGAATGGTCTTATTTGTACTGTGATATATAGTTTGGTTATAATTCGCTTGAACGTTATCAATATAATAATTTGATTTATTTAAATTTTAAGCTCTCGTTTGAAATTTTTAAAATCGGAATTCAAGGGACAATTACCTAACGAATATTCAACAGACGCGAATGCAACAATGATTATCCCTACTAACATGAACGATATGAATTTAGAAGAAGTCGATAGATATGTTAGATTTTGTTATATTCTCCCATACAGTTTCATTTTGATTTTCGAATAAACGAGGTTTTTTCTATTTGCAGGTGCAGTTATCAGCATGTCATTTCTTAATTGATGTAGACAATAATAAAAATACCAAGTTAGAACCCAATTACGCAAAAGCTACTGACAGATGGAAAATAATATTCAGCGAATCGTTCCTGGATTCTGCAAAGTTGGAAAATTTTCTATGATTTATAGTATTTTGTATATTTCCCAAGATTCATCATTCTGACTTAAGATGATTACGCTGTATTATTTTTCAGATCAGACGCATTATTCAGGGCATTTTACATTCCCTTCATCTCCGGTCGACGTGTGACGTACAATAATTACGTTGCTCTTATGTCAACTATGCTTAGGAGATTATAAATTTGTGTTTAATTTTAAAAAGTTCATTAATATTTCGCGTACACGAATGTAGCATGTTGTTAATTTATAATTGTAGTATCATTAAAATACGTTTGTTTCAAAGTATCTGTCATGAAAATTCGGACGTGTCGTGTTCTTCCCACGATGAATATCACCAAAACAAATGCGTCGACACCGGCACTCCTGTTCGGAACGATCAAGCGGCATACAGATTCTAGGAATGATCTAGATATATTTGACTATTGGCATTTAGGGTGTACATCATAGGTATAACATAACCGAAGTTAAACGCAGAATATGTTATAGTTCAACTCATTTGTGATGTACGTCGAATTAATTGTATATGTCTACATATCATTTGTATAGTGTCCTGCATATGTATATCATACGCTATTTAACTGAATTCAACAGGCTCCATTTATTTAATCAAGCGCCAAACGATCATCACATGCACAAGTGATGATCAGTTCACTTTTAAAATTTACAACTTAGAGAGTAATTGACTGTCGAAAAAAATCGAAAGTGCTTACAAAAGCCTTGATTTTCACAAAAATACTTTCTAAAATCAGCAAGGTAAGTTTTTTTGTAAATAATGAAACTGAACTTTTTTAAACTACCCACAATTATTAATTACTATTATAAATAAAAATATCTAATTACATTCTTGTTAATAAAATATAAATTATTATAATTAATAATAAATATTAATATTATTTTTATATTTTTACTAACAAATGAAGTATTTGTTTTTACTTTTTATGCATAATTTAGGTTAAATGGAAAAGCCTATGATGAAACACACCCAAGAGCTCCTAGACTCTGGTGCCACAGGAGTTTTAATTGCTGATCCTCATGGTCTGTGCATACTTGCTAAGGGCTGTGCTAAAAGTAATTCAGCTGGCGTCATAACTTCTCTGTTTCAGGAAAGCAATTCCACAACTATGTCTTCTCATAAGACTCCAGTAGTAGTATTCGAAACAGATGCCACCAAAATTCTAATACAAACAGTAGAAAACAGTGATAAAGTGCCCATCACAACAGCCATTTACCGAAACAACTCATAGTTCTCTGACTTTTAAACTTATGATTTTCTGTTTATTTTTAATGCAACAACACAAATACACAGATTTTCATTGCACATACACTTTCTAAAATACAATAAAAAAAACTGATGAAATAATTTTTTAAATGTTGATTTTTACTAGTTTAGTTTTTACTTAAACATATTCCCATTTTTAACAATTCATTTCCAAAACATGAGTATTCTTTATTCAAAAGAATCCTGAGAGCTGCCTGTCTAACCTATAAATAATTTTCAAATTTAAATTAATGTTTGCATTTAGAAAACAAATTTGGTCACTTTACATTTTTACAGCATTCTTTAAACAGAAACAAAAGTTTTTGTTAAACAAGTGCAAAAAGTTGGAAAAGATTTATTTCTTATCAATAATATAAATGCAATGTAAAAATGGGAAGCTAGTTGAAAAAGAAAAGCTTAGAAAAATATAATTTAAGCAGATAAAATTCTGGTTTAGTTTGGGTGCATGATTTAGAAAACTGAAAATTGTAGAGAGAATATGGCAAACTTGACTTACCATGACTGCAGATGCATTAGTTTAATTTAATAGCACATGTTCAGACAAAAAAAGGTCACAACAACATGCAACAATTTACAAATTGTATTACCATCAAATTGGCTTTCCAAGCATAAGGCCCATTTTTCCTTGACTCTATCTCTGCCCTGTGTTTTGGTGCAGCTACATTTTTGTCAATTTTTGCGATGGTCTTATGTAATTGAAAGCTTTCCAATCTTAAAATTTGTAATGAAACAATATTTCAACTGAACTAATAAAAATTGGCTTATTAAACTTACACTCTTTGTTGTAATGTATCAAAATCTATGTGAGATCTGGAAGTAGATTCAGGTTGTCTATTTCTTTCCATCTGCAAAATTTAAATCAACACTTCACCTTCTCCAATTTTTCCAAAACCCTAAATATAATAGCTAAGGTTTCTATTTAAAAATGTATTAAACTCAATTTTCAATTATTTATTGTTAATCTTAATTTAATGTTATTTAAAGACGAGTTCAAAAAGATGTCACAAGTAAATTTAGGTAGGTGCCGGCGTAAACGTCAAACCAACTCAGCATGATAGTTTGGTTACGCAAAGCTGAACCGAAAGTAATAGTAAAAAAATAAATGAACTTAATTGTATCTTTTCATCCATTTTTCTTCTGAAATAATAGTAGGAATCAGGCATTGGCTTCGCCTCATATCTGTAAGACGTGGTCATCAAGCGGTTAAACATTTTTTTGCTGAGTGTCTGTATGTATATTGTATACTCACGCCGTTACGGTTGAATAAATAATATTAAATAGTAGAATAAAAATATTAAATATCTCAAAATGTCTAAACTTTAGACTCTAAAGTCGTGACAATTTGTGGCTAGCGTCTGTGTAAATGACAGAAAGCGTTTTATCTTTATTCAAACAGCCTTTATCCGGTAAAGGCGCAAAGACTAAGCAAATACTCAAAAATTATTTTAATTTAGTAAATTTTTGTGACCATTTATAATTTTAAATGGAATTGGTTAATTTAATTACAAAAAATAAATTAAGAAACTGAACACAAAGCGAGCAACTAGGAACAGTTGGCTGGAGATTTGATTTTTGAGCATGGAAAATTCTCGATTTTTCTATGCCTGATAATTTTCGAGATCAACTCAGTATTTCTACATCCCCTAAAAAAGTTATGCATGAAATTTTGAAATATTTAAAAGTTAATGCAAAATTTTTTTTAAAATATTTAATATATATAATAAATATTTTTTCATAAGTCTATTGTAATTATTAATACACGATTTTATCTTATTAAACTGAATTACAAATTGTAAATTTTAACAAATCGAATGCAAAATGCAATTTAGTCTGGTTGGCCCATCTTACCGTTGTGTGTGGTGTGCGTTTTCTTTTACTTTTACACTCACTCGTCCCTCGGGCAGTTTCTCTCTAGTCGGGCTTAGTGGCTGGTCGTTTGGAGTTCACTGGCAGCCATGGAAGAACTACTTACATGTTACAATAAAGGTTGCGGCATGAAATTTAAAGCTTCAGAAAATAAAGAAGGTATTTTTTGTGGCCATCAGTTGTTATATCACTTCACAGATCAGAATCAATCAGATTAGATAAGGATTAGCCAATTATTATCACACACACATCACATCACTGTCACCACACATCAGCATTACTATCACATCAGACCACATCACGACTTGAATATTTTAATTAATTAGTTAAGTAAGTAAAGCAGTTAGTTATGAATAGAAATTATAAAGGGAAAAAATTAATTATAGAACAACTATTTCAATATGAATGAAAAATATTTTTACAATATAAAACATAATTAACATTTTATCATTTTAATCCACTGTTGTCTTATTTGCTAAGAAGCATCATTATAAATATATTTTTTTCAATTCTCTTTTCTTGAAGATTCGTGCCGTTTCCATCCTGGTGGCCCAATATTTCATGATGCTCTGAAAGGTTGGTCATGTTGCAAAAAGAGGAGCACTGACTTTACAGAGTTTCTCAATATACCTGGTTGTACAACTGGTTTCCACAGCAATGTCAAACCTATAGTTGAATCAGCACCTACAATAAAAGAAATGGTGCCTGAGGTGGTTGTTTTTTTTTTGATGATGTATTTTTTTATTAAAATTATCCTTCAATTAATAATTATAATAGGTCACTGAAGACTTCAAGCAAGTTACAATAAAGCCTTTGCAACCGGTAGAAAGACCATCTTCTGATGAACAGCTTGTCACATTGCAGATTAATGTTGCTGATGCAGTGAGGGAAACTCTGAAAAAAGAACTCAGCAAACTGGAGTTGAAGGATAAAGGAGATGAAGCAGGTTTTGTTTTCCATTTGTTTTTTTATTCAATTATTACTTCTTCACTCGTATCTATTTGTCTACTGTTGTTACTCCTTCCAATCATTTTAAAAACCTGCCACATTACTGATTGCATAGTGAGATGAGATGTCTTATTTTCTTACCATCTTGTTTAAAATTAATAAACTTGTATTGACATATCATAAGAGAAAATGATTTCCTGATATCAATTTGTCACCTAACTTTTTGTTGTGGTAATCTCATTAATCTCTGGTCAACATGAAAAACTATATAAACTTTGATTTCAATAACATCTTATTATTACACGGGTTACATTAATCAAGGATGATGAAATAGATATTTATTCAACAGAAAGTACAGGTATTCCAAAGGGAACCTCTTGCAAGAATAATGGATGCACAACGGTAACAGCTTATTCAATTGACTATTTTTATTGCTTTATGAAAAAGTAACTTAGTAGATGTTTCTCTTATCAGACGTATGAAGATGAGTCAAGTGATTATGGAATATGTGTGTACCATACAGGCGTTCCTGTGTTCCATGAAGGGTAAGCTGATTAACATTGTAAAAACACGTACCATCATTCAGGTTTAGTTATTTTTATTGTAATTCATTATTGTAGCATGAAGTATTGGTCATGTTGTCAAATCAAGACCACAGATTTCAATTCATTTCTCAATCAGTCTGGTTGTGCCACTGGCCAACACCTGTGGATAAAAAAGGTTGCAAGCTCACATTCTTAAGACAAAACATTCGATTTACACATTTTGTTATGAATAACAAAATGAACTTGTTCATTTCATTCAATATAAGGACGAAGAAAAGAAGGTGGCTTGTCGGCTTGATTGGCACCAAACGCCATCTCATGTTACAATAACAATTTTCTCAAAACTGACATCACCAGAGAAGACAAAAGTGGAAGTAAATGGTGTTCGGTGTTGCATTCACATTGTGTTTGATGTAGGAAGAAGTGTCTTTGATAAAGATATTCTACTGAAAGGGGTGAGTTCACAACATACAATTTCATATATACCATGCACCCTGCCGTTCATGAATTGTTTTGTTTCGTGAATTTCGTTTGAAAAATAAAACCATGTTTTGTTTTTCAGATTATTGATCCAAGCAAGAGTAGTGTCAAAATATTAGCCTCAAAAGTTGAAATCAACCTGAAGAAGCAAGAACCAGGCAGTTGGGCTGGTTTGGAACTATAATTGAATTGTGCATGATCGAATAAGCATACGCACGTTTTGAGTACTTATAATTATATGGTAGAATTTAATTACTGAAATAATTGTGCTTGTTAAAAAGTAGTTTTATCAACATTAAAATCCCGTCAACACATATAATCTGTGTATGGCATATTTGAAACACGTTTAGGATAATTTTTTAACAATCTGTGTAAATAAAATTTATGTTGTCAGTTGATAGTTTATAATAATCCTTGTCTTCTAAGATCGTCGAATGTTTTTTTCGTAACGACGTTGCCGCTGGAATCTTCAAACTCTTCCTGTATAAATGAATTCAACAGTTCATAAGTTTTAAATAATTATCACCAGTTTAAAAAAAATTCAATCTAATCCAATTCAATTACAAGTTGTTAACCTCGGTTTCTGGTCTCCATCTTTCTACATCCTTTGATGCTTTCAGCTTCTGCCATACTAGGAAACAAAAAATCGTTATCTCAAACAATTAGTTTTTACACTGAATTTTAATTTGTTTTAAAACTAACATAAGCATAACACTAAAACTATTTAAAATGGTATAACTTAATTCAAGCTTGCAAGTTTGGGGTTTACTGGTTTGCCAACTTTTTAATTTTCTTGATAAAAAAAACTAGTCTTAATTCTTTAATGTTCTTAAAAGGGTGAAAGAAAACTACATAAAACAATTAAAGTGTGATAACAATGAAGTATGAATGAAAATTTGTTAGCAGGTTAATTTTTACAAAGTTGTAGGTATGCCTATTAAAATGTTTTCAGAATTGTAAAAAATTCCAATTTCATCTTTTTGTGGAAATTATTTTTCTATAGACGTTAAATTTTTGAGGAAACCAAATTTTTAGAAGTGAAATTTTTTATTAAAATTTCCAAAATTGGGAGACGTTTGAAAAGGGTTATGTCAATTCCGTCTATAACTTTCGTAATGCCTCTGTAAATACGTGAACTAGATGCAGGCAGATAATCTGCAGTTTTTGTGTAACTATCTTATAAATAAAGTTTAAAAAAATGAAGTGTACAAACATGCTATGGCGTCTTCGATCAGTGTGACATTTGCAAAATGTGCTGTGTTCGGTACACCAAGGCACCTCATTCCATGTGCATGCCTCCATTCCTAAGTTTATGGGACAAAATGTCGATCAAATTAGAAACTGGTGCTTTTAAGAAAATGATATCTAGCACAAAAACTGAATACTTACAGCAAAATGTCTTTGAAAGACCTTTGGACCTCTGTAAGTGTAGTTTCCACATATTTCACAGGTATAACTGATGTTGAGACCATGCAGCTTGTATAACCAATATGGAATTGGCTTTCCATCCCAACCAAGAGGCAAATTTTTGGGATTGTAAGGAATATCATTACTATCATCATCAGAGTCATTGTTGTCTGACATTTGTTCATCGTCTGATTCTTCTCTCTCATTTACTGTTCGTGCCTGTTTACGTTGAATGTTTTCTCTGGTGGCAGCTCTTTGCTCACTCAACAGTTCACTGTAGTGGTATATTTGGGCTTCCATATATGCTATTTCCTTGTGGATCTCTGACTCTCTGTGTAAATGCAGGAAAATCGTCATACATCAAATTTTTATCACTATAATTTTTGAAACAAAAAAATAGAAATAGTCAATAGATCTCAAATAACTGAAATATGGTAGCATTTTGTAGAAAAATAATTATTAAAAAATCTGTATTTCATGAATGATTACTTTGTCTTTACAGCTTTGCCAGGTTTGGCTTTAGCGAGAAAAGAAGCATCCAGTTCTGAAAGTTCTTTTCCTTTGCTGGCAAACAACCTCTGAGCTCTTTCCTCTAATGTTCTATGCAATAAAAACAAAAAATTGTAATATTTCATTTTATAAGTTAAAAAAATTCACCAACAAAAAATAAAATCAGCGGGGATGATAATAAAAAAAATCAAGCAAGTCATCATATAAGCACATACCCTCCACACTTCAATCCAAGTGCCATCAACGCCGACTTCAACCGATCCAGACCCAATGAAGCAAGTTCCTACAACATGGAACAGTTTTAAATAATGAAATAACCATGGAGGACTGTATGTAGACCTCATATGCAATTTAATTAATTAATATAACAATTACATACAAATCCAAATATAGCAAATAATTTTGAACAAAGGAGAGAAATAATGGAATATTTGAAAATTTTTTTAATATTAATCAAAGTAATAAAATTTTACAATAGAAATAATAATGGCATTCAACCTCCCAGGATGAAAAAGCAGAGAGATCGAGATGAGCTCCTGAGTGTGTCAAAGCACCTGATGTCTCTTTCTTCAAATTGAAAAATGCATTAAAGATTTATTATTGATTAATAATATTTATTGATAACATAAAATTCATAGCATAATAAAATCAGTGTAATAAAATTAAAATGATAAAATAAGATATCACGTACAGGCCAACCGGGAAATGCACCCTCCGCCCATTTCTTATCGAACTCCTCTATCACTATGCTCAATTCCTATTTACCACGAAAATGTGTAAATGAAATGTGTTATTTTTATTAAACTAATCAAAGTCATCTATTGTAATGAGAGGAAATTATTAATTATAAGATAATAAAAAATTATTAATACAATTGAAAATTTGCATTAAAATAAAGTAATAATCAAACTGATGAAAATAATGTTGAAAATTACAGACTTCGTTGAAATCGAGCATCGGCTTAACACGAGACAGATAAGACTCCAGATATGTTAGCAGTGTCATCAAGTAGCTGGAATTAAATCATGAATTAAAAGTATTAATAAATTTCATTTAATTTCTTATTTACAAAAAACACTCACTCCTTGTAAGCAGCATTCTTCCTTTCTCTTGGAATGTCAAAGAAGTGATCGTAGACATTAAGGTATGTCAAATAATCAACACGCTGTAAAGTCAGTTTAAAGAATGTTTGTACACAAGAGTTAAAATTCACAAATATTTTATAAAATAGGACTTTTTAAAAAAATTACCTTCAGTAAGAATGAATCCAAAATAATGATGAACAAAATGAAAGCCCCCAAAAAAAGAAGTCTAACCTCAACTCCTTTCAAGTTGATGTACTTATTGTAGCACTCATGCATGTCCAGGTACTTGCCATAACCCTCTTCATCTGTGAACTGAACGAGATCTGCACGAGTGAATTTTTCGTAAATTTTTAAATATGTATCAACAAAAATTGTGAAATGTACTTTCAACCAGAAAACCAATCCATTAATAATAGGTCATATAAAAATTGTATAAAAATTTCATCAAGAATTTAAAAGTGTACAAAACCACTAAAACCATTTAAAGACAATTGCAAAGTTATGTAAATTAGATTACTAGCTGCAAAACAGCAAAAACAATGCAATACCATTCTCACATCATGGCGTATAACATGGTAAACATTAACTACTCAAGATAAGATGTGCAATAAAGTTCATAACACAAATGTACTACACAGAAACATATAGAGAACGTCATATGGATGGATACCTTGCATTTCATCAGATGGATTTTCTCTAATTTTGGCCAATTCATCAAACTCAATGGACATTGGCACACAGATCTGATTCAAATTGAGAGTGAAAGTAATCATGATGTCATTAAATTATAATGGATAGTAAATATTATTTAAAAAGTAATTTAATATCAATTAATTAATTAATTAATTAATATGAAATTATGTATATTAGAATTAAGTTAATCATCATAAATGAGACTTGAACAATTAAGAAAAAAATCAGATAAACAATGTAATGAGAATTCGAATAAGGTTTTGAATTTAAATGAACTTTTCATATCAAAAAATAAAAAAGCAAGATGATGGAAGAATATTTTCAAAAAAAAAAAAAAAGAAGGAATATCAACACAGAATAATTAATTCAGAGAAAACTAAAAAAAGATTATTCATAAATGAAGGTTATTTAATGGACATGAAAAGCTCTAAAATCACTAGAAGAATTATTGTTTTATATTGTTTAACAGAAATGATGATGAAAATATTAATGAATGATTTTCTACAATGACGACAGCGAAAAATAAATCTAAGGATTCATGAAGATAAGATATAGGTAAAACAGATGAAAAATAATACTTCATTTGGGTGTTTCCTGTGAAAATCCTTAATGGATTTTAATCTGTTGTAGAACTCAGTGAACTCATTTGGACCGGACAGAGCTGCAATTTCTTCTTTGCGTAGTCTAAATATTTAACAAAAAAATTGACAATACTTACTTGATTTACAACAAACTATTGAACAACAAAAGAATAAAAATGGCACAAACCCGTCCTTATCTTCGTACAGATCCTTCAGTTCTTGGACATTTTCTAATGATCTCTATGGATAATAAATAATATGAATAAATATGAATATGAATAAATATAATCACTTGAAGTTAAATTTACAGACTGGTTACCAGTAAATAGGAAAGTATTAAAAAAGAAAATTTAATGTTTTAATTTAAAAAATAATAATAGTCACCTCTAGAAGAACTTTTTGTCTGTAATCAGAATTTATCTGGTCTCTCAACTGTTGGAAAAAAATTTAAATCATCATTTCAAATCAGTTGATAATCGTTATAAAAAAAAAAACAAACAAAACATAATTTTTGAATTAATAAATATTTTGATTTGTCACTAAAAGTTTATATAACAAAATATGAAGACAATTATTTAATTGAAGTATGAAATCAAAAAAATTTTTCTCATTTTTCCAACACACTGATGTTACAAACAATTTTGTAGCTTATTTGATCGTTAATGCAAATAACATGTAACAATATTGATATATATAGTAAATATAATGAAACACTCATGTCTTCTAAAAGTGCTCTAAAAGTGTCTTCTCAGCAATCAGCTTTCTTCTAGCTAACAAACTCAAACTTAGAAAATCAATTACAAGCTTGAATTAATTAAGAAAACTACATACTATCATACAACATTAATGAAAATTAAAATAAAAACATAGCTTACTTCATTTTAATTATTTAATAAATATAAAAAAATTAATTAAAAATTTAAAAATAAAATATGGGTTTACTGATTTCTTTTGGAACATGGCTTCTTTCATCATGGCATCTACTAATCTCTCCCTTTCCTCGTGGCATCTTCTCTGTAACTCTAAAATGCTGCTATCGGCCATTTGGGTGGTCTGACAAAACTTCAATTCCCGGAAGAAAATTAGAACAATAAACACGAGCTACGACCGAGAGTCCAACCGCGTACGTAAACAAATAAATAACGAAATTAGGGGTAAATAATAGACAAATGTGCATAGACAAGTAAATATTTACATAGAACTTTATAATTTTTAATTAGTCGTTGCATTATTATACATACTTAGAGATTTGATCATGGATATATATATATATCGATAGATATGACATCCAATAAATAAATAAATTTTTAATATTAAAAAAAATTTTAAATATTTCAGTTTAAAAAATTTAACAGCGATGTTTGGTTGGAAGTCGTAATATGATTTATTTAGTTACTTGGATTAGTTTGATGTTTCTATTACTGTTGGTATTCAAATAAACGTTCAATTAAGTTTGCGTTTGAAGCAGTTGTGTTCATCTATCGGAAATCTTGAACCTACGGAATAACGATAACTCGACGATCGTTGGAAGCTACAACACTAGTGTCAGAAATAAAATTATAACATTGATGTTGGTAGCAATGAGCGTTTAAAGTTTACAACATTATAGTATAAACAGAAACATAATGACTCAACCATATACTTAGAATAACAGACTGTTTAGAAAATCAAAACTGAGCAGTACAAAACTTTTTTTTGTTTTTGAGTTCATTGTTGCAAATTATAAAAATTAGCAAAGCTTCCATTCTTTTGCCCACTCAACATTTGTTAATAATTTCTTACATTTAACAATTTTTAGTGAATTATTCAATCAATAAAATAATTAAGAACAGGGTAATAACTATTTTAAACGGTTAATTTTTAAATATGTTTTAGTGATGCTAATAGATTATTATCTGGCTTTAATAATAAAAAAGTCAAATATTTTGTTTTTTCAGATGAATCAGTACCTCTACCAATGAATGCATCCATTTTAGAATCGTACAGCAAACTGACTTTCATTTCTCCATTAGGACCTGCCATTTTAAACTCCTGATCTAATTCAAGATTCTCTTTCGTCTTCAAGTTTGATCCGAGACTTTTCGGCAAATCGAACGCGATTTTTGAGTTTGGAAACCTGAGAATTAAGTTGCGTGCGTGAAGACTACACTTTCCAAGGACGGGGATAGATAGGGGAGACATGGGAAGAGCGAGGTACATCACTGCCACTCCTTCGTACATCTGATTGGAAGGCATTTCATGTGTCGTCGTAGCGTCTTTGCTTGTCATCACTCGACTGCAGACTAACTACTGATTGAATTTTTTGCAAAAGTTGAGCTCGATGTTATTTAAGTTGTTTTTAAAAATTTAGTTTACCGCATATACTCTGTTACATTTCAAAATATCAGTTCGATTTTTAAATTTTGTTTAATTAAATAGGAACTAAAAAGTTACCATATAATAAATTAAATTTTAAATTTGATCGAAATATTTAAGTCGTAAACAAATTTTAAAACTTACTAGCTCCAATGTCGAGAATTTTAATCCAGATAATTTAATTTATGAAATGTTTTACACTTTAAAACATGAATATCTCCAAGAGAAAATAAAGAAACGGATATATTTATTGCTATTCTGTGGAGAGTTTATATACAATTTTCAAAAGTAGATTTTAGTTATATAGTGTTATAGATATATGCCATTCATGTAAACCTGTTCAATATATGAACTGTATATTATTTTTCAGTGCTTAACGATTTTCATAACGGTAGAAAAACAAATTGTTTATGTATAGTTCGTTAATCGTTAACAATTTATGTATGTATCGACGAAATAGAAATTTTTTATTTTTTATTCGTTAATTTATTAGGGTAACCATCATCGTCATACTCGTCCTCGCAGTCAATCCACTTGCAAGCCTTTCAACAAGTATTTCATCTTCATCAACATTTATACATTCATTATCTCAGCTTGCTCGAGTATAACGAATGCAACATACATACTATACCGTCTATGCTCCAATGACTAAGCTCTTTGAATCAAATAAGGTTCAGTTATAAAACGAGGAGTTATAATATGTAGTTGTTGAACGATTTTTCATTTATAATTTATGAGCAAATATTTTTCCAATCAAAAACTAATCTTTTTTGAAGATGTTGATGCTTACACTCTGTTCATTGCTCAGATATGTATTTCTATAAGAAAATCACAAAAAAAAAATTACATCAGATCATCATGCGTTACTAATCTAAATACTTTAAAAACAAATGCACATATGTTGAACCTATAAACTTACATACCAAAAAACTCAGACGCACACACTCACACATGCACAAATACACCAGCAACAGACATTCATTAGCGGAAGCACATTGTACGAGCACACACAATCCATCAACGAACCTTGTCCGATTAACCATTAACATCAACGCTATCAAAGATAAATGTTGAACTCGTAAAACATTTTTTGAGATAAAAATGAACTTCTGGAATCATAAATGTTTAGCTGTTTTTATCATGAGGTCGTATATATACAACATCGTGTATACCCAGGTAATAAAATTATCTTTTCTACAAAAACAAATTAGCACAATAGTTTTTAGATTGCACGACGTTTTAGCTTATCATTTTATGACGTGAAGTCAAGTAAATTTGAACTAAAATTAGTAGACTTTGAGCATCATAAATTTCTATCTAAAACTGTTCAAGGATAGGTTTCCTAAGTATAAGTATATGCTCTAAATTTATTAGAAGTTCTTAAGCTGGGCTAACAACTTTAAAATATATCAGTGTCATATACATATATTTATAATACAAATTATTTGTTATCTATGATTAGTGTTCATTTTGGCAGGTTTCAAACGTTGAATATTCTATTTATTTTATACTGAATAACCGAAATGAAAATTGTGCTATATAAATTAAAATGAGGGTGCGTTCGAAAAATATAATTAGGAAAAGTCTTGCCAACAAACTAGCAATAGCAACGAATGAATATGGCGTAGGGCCATCATCAATCCAACCACGAACATCTTCTTCATTTTCATTTTAAAGTTGCTCTTTAACAGATTTCAAGTTTCCAAGTAAGAATTGTTTTGTTTTTGTATTATATATGTGACATTTTTTGGGGGAACTGATCACCTACCCATATTACTTGAGTATAGAATGCATTGTTAGTCTTTTCTTTTTAAAATAGTTTTTTAGTGTTTAGTAGACTTTAAGTTAGTTTAGTTTTAGTTTTATAAAAGTCTTATCTTAGTTTAGTATTAGTTAGACTCTAAGAGGTTTTTGCATTTTTTAGACTTGCCAGTACAGTACTGTACTAGTTAGAGTTGCATTTAGTTAGTTAGTGTTTACTTGTTTAGTATTTTTTTTATTGTTTTTTTAAGTTCGTTTTTTAATTTAATATTAGAAGATTTTATTTTGACATTAGAAGCCCCTATTAGCTATTAGAATTAGATTAGACTTATTAGAGTTTTTGGTCAACTTGAATTAAAAAAGATATAAAAACAATCTTATAAGAGTAAATTTTAATAAATAAATTAATTAACTAATTATAATGATGATCAGTTAGTTTATTAATTAAAATTAAATAGCATTCAGAAATTACTTTCATAATTGGCAAAACAACTATTTAAAATTATAATATATAATTAATGCTATTAATTTAATAGACTTGAACTTTTTTCATTGTGCTGATTGATCTTACTTCATAGTTGTTTTTTTTTTCATTGATTTGATTTATTGACTGAACAGATTTTCAACAGATCATGTAGATTAAAATTTTTTCTTGAAAACTAATTACTATATTACTGCATGTTATTTACATATACAGTCTATAATATCATTGGAAACAGAAAACAGTAAGCACTGTTGTACAATAAAGGAGGAACTATCTTATCCAGCAAATTTATACTACATAGAAAAGAAAATTTGAAATTTTGTTGAATTGAGTGGCTGCAGGAAATAAAACCTGTACTGGTACTTTATATTAACGTTGTACTGCCACCACGTCATAAATATTTAAAAAGTTAGTAATTTATTCAAGTTGTGTAAAATTTTTCCTATTACTTCTTAGTTAATGGTCTGCTTAATTTATTATGTTATAGCACAAATAGCAGATACATCACTTGAAAATAATGGGCTGCACCACAAGTTCTGAGGAAAAGTTGGCCCTGGAAAGGAGCAAAGTCATTGAGAAGGCCTTAAAAGAAGATGGCTTGCAAGCGGCCAAAGAGATTAAGCTTCTACTTCTTGGTTTGATTTTAAATTCAAATCTGAAACTTTTCTAAATATATTGCCTACATTATCAAGTTACCGCTATTTTCAATAAATGAATTTTTTAGTTTGTGTTACTTTCATAGGTGCTGGGGAATCTGGAAAAAGCACAATTGTGAAACAGATGAGGTTAACATTTGCAATTTGTTCAGTATCCAAGTCATTACTCATCATCATCTCTCTTTCTTGCACTCTTTTTTCTTTCTTCTCTTTCTCTTTCTCTCTTTCTTTTTATTTTCTCTCGTCACACACACACACACACACACACATATATATATATATATATATATATATATATATATATATTTCACGGGAAAGATGCAACATTCATTGTTGCTTGTATCAACAACGAATGTTGCATCTTTCCTGTGAGTTAGAAGCTAAAACAACAACGAACATTTATATATGTGTATATATATATATATATATACAGTGCGGCTCAAAATGATAGGAACGGTGGATTTTTTTAATTTTCTTCAAAACAAATGAGCCATAATAAATAATATTTACATAGTATATTTCTATTAACATTTAAAACACAATAATGTAAACAAATTTGTTTAAAGCTTTATAGGTCTTAGATAACAGAATAATAATGATTTTAATGATCTAAATGCTGGGTCAAAATGATAGGAACAAATGAAAAAAAAATTTATTTTTTAAAGTGTATAGTAAATAGAATAAGTTTCAATAGTTTATTTTGTTTCCTTTATTTTCAATAACACTTAGACACCTTGCATTCATGGATTTACCCAGAGATTTTAACAAATTTTCATCAATTTTGTCCCACTGCATTAAAATTTCATTTTTTAAATCTGTTAGATTTTTAAATTGTCTTCCATTGGCATAAACTTGTCTAACTAAACACCCCCACAAGTTTTCAATTGGATTGAGATCAGGTGATAATGCTGGCCATGGTAAAACATCAATTTTATGGGTCTCTAGGAATTCTTTAGTGGCTTTGGATGTATGAATTGGGGCATTATCATGTTGATATATAAATTTTTTTCCATGTTTTGACTGTGCAAAAGGTATCATACATTGTGAAAGAACATTTATATATGCCTGAGAATTTTGGCGTCCTTGAAGAATTGACAGTTGGCTTTTTCCTTTGAATGAAAAAGCACCATAAACCATGACTGACCCTCCACCTTGTTGCCTCTTAATAAATCTTTTTTTCTCTTTTCTCTCATCATGCCAATAGAATTTGTTGCCATCTGGACCATCAAGATTGAATTTTTTTTCATCAGAGAAGATAACAAATTTCCATTTGCCATCCCAGGTAACATGATCTTTTGCCCACTGCAATCGTTGCTCTTTATGAAATTTTGTCAGTGGCAATGATTTGATTTTTTTCTCAAATTTCAAATAATTGCATTTCTTTAGACATCTTTTTACAGTACTGATACTACAGTTTAATTGTAAGTCATTTAGCAACTCAAGAGAACTGCTTGTACCCTCACAGGCTTTTCGAATTAGAAGTGCCTTTGTTCTTCTTGTTAGTTTTTGTGGCCTGCCAGTACTTTTTTTGGTTCCATAAGTCAATGGATTTTTTAAAAAATTAAAAACAACTGTTTTAGAAACGTTTAATGATTTTGAAATTTTTCCCAGACTATATTTTTTGGATCTTAATGTCAAAATTTGAATTGTTTGGTTTCTGTTTAGCTTTTTCCCTTTGCCCATAATGAAAAACAATTTTAACCAATTTCAAATCAGTCGAAAACGCGCTTAATGCAAACAAAACAACGTTTGGTGAGATCTAATGTTCATACTATTTTAAAACTGCTGCTTTAAACTTAAAAATAAAATCGTTCCTATCATTTTGACCTGTTGTAAAATCGTATTTTTTGAATAATCTGAATTAATATTTTTTAAAAACAATAATTTTCTTATGTTTCATTGTTTGTTTAAATGTTGAAAATTATGGGTAAAAATTTTAATTAATTCGGCACAATGGTTTTGAAGAAAATGGAAAATACCAACCGTTCCTATCATTTTGAGCCGCACTGTATATTTATGCATGCATTCATGTGTATAAATATTTGTATGTGATTGTGTGTATTGTGTGTGTGTTGTGAAACCTACCTATGCTACTGAAATGTTTGCCAGAATAATACACGAAGGTGGTTTCACGAAAGAAGACAATCGACAGTGCAGACCAGTAGTGTTCAGCAACACCATTCAAAGCATGGTTGCTCTGATCAGGGCCATGCAGTTCCTTGATATTCCTTACACTGATCCCTCCCTTGAAGTCAGATTTTTGTACCAGTCTTTTGATTCAATTTCTGTCTAATGCATTAGTTTAAAGTTTATTGATTTATTTATTGTATCATATAAAAGATTTATAAAGTTGTTTTAAAATGTTAAATATGGTTGTGCTTGTTAGGTAAACGGTAGCCATTACATTTCATTTCTCAGTATGTTGTCCTGTTATGTTTGCTGTTAAGTTATTGGGAGTGTTGTTCGTTTTTTACTTTATAAGATATGTATTGAATGAAGTGATATCTACAATGAGTTATGTATATGTATGTTATCAAAGAAATTAAATTTATCTTGGTTGTAATTTTTTAGTTTTGTTGGTAGCATGTTTTGCAGAGTGTATTTTTTTATTTTATTTGTTTTGAAATGTTACTTGAAGGCAATGCGCTCGCACACACACACATACACACACAAACACACACACGCACACGACATTCGTTTAGCTGGACTGCAAGATAGTTACAGAGGTCTTGTTGAGGATGGAGGATACAGAACAGTTTTCTGAAGAACTCTTGAAAACTATGAAGAGACTGTGGGCCGATGAAGGTGATTACAATGCCACTGCTGATGTTGGTGATGGTGTATGGTGATTAGAAGGAAGATGATGAATTGGGAGATGTGATGTAAGTGATGCTTTTAATGATGGTGATGGTTGTATTTAACTGGTGAATTCAATTGAAATTAGCCATTATCAATCATTATCTGAAATCATTCCTGTCCACATAGGCATCCAGCAATGCTTTTCAAGGTCTAATGAATTCCAGCTGAATGATTCTGCACAATAGTATGAGCCTTACCTTGTTCATTATCATCAATTTGATTAACTTATTTTGGTTATTTGATTAACTTATTTGGTTGACATTTTTTTCATTGTTGGTTAATAGGAATAAGTGTTATTCGATTATTTCTTACTTTAATTCTTCTCATCAGAATTATTTCAATGTTATTATTACATTATTAGTACGCATTGAATTAATGCTGTGCAAGTTTTATTTCATAATTTTTCCAGACTGCCAGACTGTTTTAAATGTTTTTATTTGTTGTTTCTACATGGTTGCACTCACTTGATATATTAAACTGCATATAACTGTTTAATAAAACTATGCTGCAAAATTGAAATCACGTAAGCTTCCTGGATAGCTTGGACAGGATTGGTTCAAGAGATTACATTCCCACAGAGCAAGACATCCTGAGAATCCGAGTTAAGACAACTGGCATTGTTGAAGTTCACTTCAATTTCAAGAATCTTAATTTCAAGTTTGTTTTAGGAGATGTAAGAAAAATTAAAACACAATCATTTTACATCTTACAGAAATAATTTGTGGCTATTTCTGTTTGAGCTTGGTCTTCAGTCAAAATGACAATTTATTTTATATATAGTAGCTTACTTTTTAGTCTCTGCATCAGTTTGCACTGTTTACAGTAATCTTATATCTATTTATTGTAAACTTGCTGCTTGCTTGATGGCTTGGTTTGAAAGCTAACATTTAAACTCGACCATTACTCACCATCACTAGACCGTCACTCACCATCACTAGACCGTCACTCACCATCACTAGATCATCACTCATCACCACTAGACCATCACTTACCATCATTCACCATCCGCCAGATTGTTTGATGTTGGAGGCCAGAGATCAGAACGCAAGAAGTGGATTCATTGTTTTGAGGATGTGACGGCCATTATTTTTTGCGTGGCCATGAGTGAATACAATCAAGTCCTCCACGAAGATGAAACAACAGTATGTTACAGTACAGTACATTGCCACTTTTCAGTTTTATTTAAATATTTTCATTGTTTGCTACACGATGATGCCTGGTTTCTTTACTAATTATCATCATTGACGGAGTACTGACCGTACTTATTCATTGTAATTACGTTATGGCAACACACATACGCACACTCACACACACACACACACACACGCACGTGTATAAAATAAAACTCTTTGCTTCAGAATCGAATGCAAGAGAGTTTGAAGTTGTTTGAGAATGTATGCAACAACAAGTGGTTCACTGATACAAGCATCATCCTCTTCCTCAACAAAAAAGATCTCTTTGAAGAGAAAATTAAAAAATCCCCATTGGTTATCTGCTTTAAAGAATACACTGGTATGGCATTCAATACATTTCATTATAGGATGTATATTTGAATTCGTTGGTACATTACATAATGTTGTATGTTTGTATCTGTTTACATTTTAATTTACTTTGTGATTGATTGACAGATTTATCATTTTCTGTAACTTACTTGATTTGATTATTTCTGTTTGATTTTTGTTTTTGACCATACAAGCCTACTGTAGGCTTCTGGTCCAAGGTTTTGGAAATAAATAAATAAATAAAAATACATAATGTTTATGTTTGTATCTGTTTGCACATTATATAATGTTGAATGTTTGTATCTGTTTGCACATTATATAATGTTGAATGTTTGTATCTGTTTGCACTTTTCATGATGTTGTACGTTTGTATCTATTTGCACATTACATAGTGTTGTATGTTTGTTTCCTTTGGTACATTATATAATGTTGTATCTTGTATGTTTGTTTCTTTTGGTACGTAATGATGTTTAATTTTGTATGTTTTTTTTTAGTAAAGTATTTATTTATTGTACAACGTTAAACAGCGTATTCTTTTTTTATTAAATACGTTTTTGTGTCTTTCTTTCACAGTATCCATGTCTTTTTTGCAATGGAGAATTCATATAAAATGAAACTATTAAATATTTATGCTGTTTAACTTAGCACACACAATGCGGTGTGACTTGGTAGTTTATCAGGAATAAATGAATGAATGAATGAATAAATGAATGAACGAGTGAATGAATGAACGAATGAATGAATGAATGAACGAATGAATAAAGGAATGAATGAATAAATGAATGAACGAATGAATAAATGAATGAACGAATGAATGAATGAATGAATGAACGAATGAATGAATGAACGAATGACTGACTTGCTTGTATATGCAGGTAAACAGACATACGATGAGGCAGCCAGTTACATACAAATGAAGTTTGAATCAAAGAACAAGAGTGCCAACAAAGAGGTCTACTGCCACCAGACGTGCGCCACCGATACGACCAACATTCAGTTCGTCTTCGACGCCGTCACCGACGTCATCGTCGCCACAAATTTGAGGGACTGCGGCCTCTATTGATGCCGTGTCATGTGACGTCACAGTGTGATGGCATGTGATGTAATATAGCGCGAGTGATGGGGTTTACGTCATGTGACTTTCCTACTCGATGGCTCCTGACGTGAACGTGTAGATATGTTATTTTTGCATGTTCAATTACTATTGCTATAATTATTATTATTATTATTATTATTATTATCATTGTTGTTGTTGTTATTGTTATCGTTGTTGTTGTTGTTACAGCAACAATCGATATTTGTTGTTCATGTTACTGGAGTTACTTGCACGTGTACTTGCTTTTACATGAAAACCGTGCTTGTACGAAAAATGCATACACACAAAAGTGCATGTACGCATGCACATACGCATGTGCATGTACATACACATGTGCATGTACATACGCATAGAAGACACCGAAGGATGCACGGGTACATGCTAGTATAATGTACAATACAAAATTATCTTAATACTGAATCATCAGAGGTGTTATTGAGCAAGTTGGATTAAGTTTATTTCAAGTATATTTGTGCTTGTTGCGGCATTTTAATTTTTCTTCTATTTATTTATTTATTTAATACATTAAAAATCAGATGATAATTTTGACGTTTTAAAGTAGCACGTTAATTTATAATAAATTATATAAATAGTTATTTATTAACATTATTATTCGTTGTGGGCATGTATGTATACGTATTTATACATTAACTAATTAATTAATTAATTTAATTAATTATATTTACACACTATTTCATTATTTAAAGTCATATATAGAATCAGTATTATTTTATTAAGAGCATACACAGTCATGCAGCACAAATTATATCTATTATTTTATATATAAAAGGATTTTTAAACGTTTTTTTAAAGTTATTTTTAAGAAATTTTTGAATTATTTTCTCAGTAGATAACCGTAAGAAATTTATTTTGTTATTTATAGCTGGGGCCAAATTTTTAAAAATCATCGTCAGTTTTTTTTACATCATGTTCAAAATCTCAGCACATGTGAATGTGTACGGTTGAATGTTTGTACATATATACCTCTGCAGCTCTTTTTCTGCAAACCTTTATCTTTGGTTCATGTTTTGTAGTATTTGTGTTTGATATTATTTATATTTTTAGGTTCGTATTTTGAATGCTTTTTATAACTGTAGACAGACAGTTCAATATTTTAATGGAAAATTTATAAATGTAAAATCCTCTGGACAGTTCAGCGAGGTTTTGCTGGTAACACTGTTGACTGGCAGTTGGTTGGTGGTGGTTCACTCGGTTATGTTTTCCGTATTGTTGGCTGGTTAGGTGTTTACTTAATTAACATCAATACCCTTTAACCTGTTCTGTTGTGTCTTTACTTTTCAACTTTTCAAATAAACCACGTTATTCTGTTATTGTAACATTGTATTTATTTGCCTATCTTTATAAGTTCTATTTTTTCAAACGAGATACCTTTACGCTGTTACTAGCGGGCAAGTATGATTTGGCATGTAATTTTTATTTGATCGTTTAGTTCCTTTCTCTCTAATTTATTTATTGTAAAAATATTTATTTATGTTAACCTATTTGTCATTTTATTGTTTTTATGTTGTGCAAATGCTTGCTTCTTGTTACTAGTCAGCAAATTTTATGTGCAACTTTGTTATTCTTTCTTATGTATCAATATTTTGCATTACACTTTCAAGTATTCTTTTAATATTTAATATAAACTAAGTTTATTTGATAATTAATTATTTCGTTATTTCATTTGTATACATTTCAATCGCAATCCGTTCTTTTACATCAATATCAGTTTTAATTCTCGTGATCAATCGATCGATCGATCAATCAATCAATTAATCATTCGCTCAATCAGTTAATCTAACGTTAATCAGCATTGATATTTGGAGAGTTGAACTATTCCATAGACTTGTCTCACTCTACTAACTCCATCCATAACATCCTTTAACCGAAGCTTCTAACTTTACTGTTCTATCAGTTGCTGAAGATCTTATCTTTTCTCATCTCTTTATCTTGTTCTCTTACGTGGAGTATCGATAAAATATAGAGTAATTTTTTTAAATTAGCCCAAATCTCAATCTATCAGATATTTCAACTAAACCTAAGCCTCACTGTCTGTAATCGTCCTCTCGCTCCCACTTTTTCTTAATAATTCGTATTTAATGCTCTTATGCTAAATCTGCTTTGCTCTTTCTAATTCTGGCTAGTTTCATTTTAGATAAAACCACCGAATTAACTAGTAAATAGAGTATAAGTTTATGGCGTAAGTTTATGTGTTTCAGATAAAATAATAAGAAAATTAAGAGAGCAAAGGAGTTTATAGGCTTATTAAAACATCAGTACAAGCTTAGAAGGATTTAGTTTAGGATACATTCAATTACGCTCTTTAGACACTTTCAACTCACTTTAATTTTGAATTGAAAATTCCATTCAATCAATCTATCTATCGATCAACCGGCTAATCGATCAACCAACTAACTACTTGTTAAACATTTTAGTGTTTTATATGTGGTTTCGTCGCTTAAGTCTATGAGGTATACAGATAGCAGAATCAAACGCATTGTCAGACGCGGTTGTATAAATTAATAAATGTTTATCGAAACAAATGTAACGTCCACGAAAATACAATAGTATGCGATATTTTTACTTAGTTTCTTCATTGTTTCAATTTTATTTTATGCTCGTGCTGGCACACGCTATAAAATATTTTTAATCAATTATCTTTTTTTCCTTGGAATGTCATTTAAGCTATTATATTATTTGCAAACTTCTAATCCCAATTCATCTCATCTCATGGCTTCAAATGATGGTGGTGATTGTTTGTTTTATATTATCTACTGGTCGATTCAACATTTTGTTTGTCATCTTGATGTTACACTATGTATAGACATAGAAGAAGTTTTATTTATTAATGTGTTAAACGATTTAATTTTATAACAAGGTTTACTGGTTATTTTTTGTAGAATAAGATTTTTATGTTATTCTGTTGACGATTTAATTTGACCAAAATTATTTTTGATAATTTTATTTTAAATTTATTCCATTCTAATCCAATCAATTAAAATATCACGTTACATTAGGTCTAGATAAGCAGTGCATGACATGTTGTACTATACTGTGTTTATAATTAAGTGTTGTCTATGTCCATTTCTTTCTTCACAATATTTATTCAGTCTAAGATGGAAACGTTAAACGGACGCTGTGTAGTTAAGTGTCCTTTGGAGTTTTTAGATTGTTTTTAATATTGTAACAGGATACAATATACTAATATTAATGATAAATGATTTGTATGAGTTGGAATTTAATTTTTAATTAAATTTTGAAAAGAAAGTGATGTCTTAAATTTTAATTCATCTATTGAGTAGCATTCTCATTTACAATCTTTTAAATCAACAAATTTCCGATCTACATTGTTAAACGTTTGATTTCAAGGCTGTAAGAATTTTTATTAATAGTTAGTTTCATGAGATGTTTCTTTCTTCGTGCAACTCGATCATTCAATGAGAAATCAAAAGTAATTTTTGTAAAAACAGTCGAGCTGTGAGGCTTGTTGTGGTTGTTAATAATGATTATGAAATATTCCTTACAGACAATCATATTTTAATTTTTTGATTTAATTTTTTAGTTACATTGTCAGATAATTGTTTTTCCATGTCCAAAAATTTCTGACACCAAAGCAGTTTTAACGAAATCATTTTATAAATTTGAACTGTCGTGTGTTCATATTTTTCGTTTTAAAATCATCTGAGCTAGTTTTATGTTTAATGTTACATTGGATGATAAATTATCTTAAATGGCATTTGTGTTGTTAATTCAGTTGAAAAGCTTGGTGGTTGTGGAAGCTTGTTTGCATGTGTCCAGCAGCTACGTTATTTATTAGTTACATCGCGATTAACATTATGTCAACGATATGAAGTGCTGGATGAGCTTGCTGAGGTGACAACGCAATTTTCTTTTTAATGGTATGCTTTGGACGTTTGTAAAACCGACATTTGTAGAAATTTTATTAATAAATCAAAATAATCGTTTTATTCATCATGGAAAATCGCTATTATTAAAAATATATATGTATATTATCACAGAAGTGTTAGTTCATTGTTATGCCTGCTATGTCATGTTTTACTAAAATACTAAGTTCCTATCATAATTGAGCAGAATGTTTTTGCAGATTATTCACATATCTGTTGGCGATAGGCTGGAATGTCACAAGAATTTAACCTCAAATGTATATAAACAAATAGATGTACAAACACACACATACATATACATATATATATATATATATATATATATATATATATATGCGTGCTGCATGTTGTGTGTTTCTGTGTATCACACCTTTAAGTGAAAGATCATACGTTAGTACGTGGTTGATGTTAATGCTAGTGTTAAATTATGGTCTTATCCACTCTACAGCATTTCACCACGACAAATATATGTTGTGTATCTACATAGGTGTGTGTAGTGGAGGCAATAGCCGAGTTTTGAATCATGAAAATGACATAAATACAAATAAACATGTCTACGTAAAGTAAAATGTATATGCAATGTTATAAAAATACACGAGATTTCTCTCAACAAACGTAACCTAAATATAAGTCATGATTAAGTTCTAACAGGTGAAAGTTCATTTTATGTAATCAAAATCGATGCGGACGTCACCAGCAAAGACATTCAAGTCAATAGTAGCGTTTAATCTGGAGCTCTCTTTATGCTTTGAGGTTACATGGCTATTGTCAAAAATTCTAGGTGTGTCGAATTTTCAAGCAAAATAATCGCTGGTTATATCGATGTTCATATGGAAGATCTAATTGTGAGTGTATAAACACGTGTGTGTTTATGTGTGTGTGTTTGTTAGTGCTTGTGTGTGTTGGAAATATAAAGCAGATGGGTATCAAAGACGTGTCTGCCTGTATATCATTGGGTATAATGAATGTTATTTTGCAGTAAATACTTACTAAGTAAAAATATCTTTGAAAAACATTGAAAAATTTTTGATTGTGAAACAATGTTCGCAAAATATCCGCGCGTCTTTCAAAGAGCGGTAAATTAATGAAAACATTTCTAGCGGAAATTGCCGGGGAATGATGTGCGTCAAGTTTTGCTTCATTGGGCCAATGATAATAATAATAACAATAATTATTATTATTATTATACTAATTAACAATAATTATTCATTGCCACTAATTTATAATTATAATTCATTCTCATATGTGAGCAACTTGTTCAAGGAATCTTTTACTGATGTCGTTACTGATGTCAGTGATGTTATTGTTGATGTTATTTTTGTGGTCATTGCCACTTAAATTATTATAGAGGTTTTGGTTGGTGTTGGCAAATGTATGATTGCTGTCAGTGTAGCTTGGTTTGTGATGAATTTCATTGCGTCTTGCGGCTCTATTCATGGGACTTCTTGTTCTTTCGTATACAGTCATTGTGCTGAACTTCACCGGCGAGTTGCGTTTGTTTACATTGTTGGTGGCGTTGATGGGATTTAAAGTGCTGTAGTAATTGCTGTTGTTGATGTTGTTGATATTGTTGTTGATGTTGTTGTGACTGTTTATTTTGTTGGTGATATTGTTGTTGATGCTGAATTTGTTGGTTTTGTTATTGATATTGTTGTTGTTGATATTGTTGTTGATGTTGTTGTTGTTGTATTTGTTGATGTTGTTGTTCATTTTCATCATCGGGTAACGAGAAGGAGTGAATTTCAAACTGTTTGTTGAAGGTGCTTCTATCGTACTATCAAAAACATGTGACTGGGCGGTCGTGTAATTTCTACTGCTGCTCTGGTAAACTCTCGGGATATTGTCGTGAATATTATTGTAGTTGTTGTTATAATGGTTGTTGTTGTTCACATCAGTAGAGCCTTTGTTTTTATAATTGTTGGCAACTTTCTTTGTTTTTGACTTGTTGCTGTTCACGTTGTCAACATTGCTGACACCGTTGTTGCTCTCGTTAATATTCTTGATATTGTTAAAATGTTTTGTTGGTGGTGTGGAAAAAGCGTTTCCTGTAAAGTTGATGTTGTCGACGATGTTGTTGTTTATGTCTCTATTTGGTGGTTTATTTTGGGTTGCGTTTGTGTTTTGACCAGGCCCACCACTGATGATGTTATTGTTTTCATCGAGGTGTGTGTAACAATCTCTTCTTTCGCCGTCTACAAACTCATTGTAGACAGTTCTGTTTACGGCGTTCTTTCTCTCGTTAATGTTGTTTATGCTGAGGTTCTTCATGCTCGTGTTGTCTATGTTGAGATGTTTCATGTTTATGTTTTTTATGTTAAGGTCTGTGTGATTAGGAGTGATTGGAAGTGGAGATTGGACTGTGTTGACTTTCGGAGAGTTGCGCTTTTGTTGGTCCTCAAAATAATATTGATGGTTATTATGCATTGCAGGGTTAATACTCTTGTTAATTTTGTATAGTCGATCATCGTCAATGTTAACGTTGTTATTGTGCTGTAACTTAGTGAATATAGAAGGATTGTCGTTGTTTACGAGATGATAATTTCTAGTTCTGTTATTATCTTTGTCGTTATTAATTTTATCGAAAACATCTCGATTGTCGGGCTGAGACAAATTGTGGTGATTGTAGCGCCTATAATTGTGACCAGTCTCGGCAGAATCGTCCCTTAAATCCAACTCAGCTTCGTGATTGTTAAGTTGACCTTGCAAAAGCCTGCAGTTGTAACAGAACAGCATCTTCCCGAGAGGGTAGCACATCTTGTCAGGTTCGTCAGTCAGTTGCATCTGGCACCTCTGCTCGTAGCCAGGAGTTTTAGAAAAAATTATTCACTCGTATAGTATAAATCAATTAAATTATCAATAATTAATAAATAAATTAAAGCAATTTTTAATTGTAAATAGATATAAATGTAAATCTATTATATTAATTAATGGAGGCATTTTTTAATTGTACATAAATAAATGGTATATATGGTATCTGAATATTTGAAGTACCAACCTGACACTTGTAGCAATCGATGTGGTAGTCGGCATCCGCTGAGACGACCCTGACGACTTCATTGGTCCCCTGGATGGGGTCGATCGTGCCGTTGCAGACTGCACACCGCGGTGAAAATATTCTTTAGGGAGGGTTGTCGGAGGTGTGGGTTGTTTTTGTCATAGGAGGCGATTGATGGGTGAATAAAAACGTTTCAAACTTCATGCACGTCGATAATGATGACGATAATAATTATTGATAAAAAAGACATCAATAACAATAATAATAATAATAATAATAATAACAACAACAATAATAATAATAATAATAATAATGATGATAATAAAGATGATGGAAATTTGCATTTAACTTGAAAAGACAAAACAAAAAATCTATGCTGAAATTTCATTAATGAATCAGTTTTAATTTTTGATTGAGTATTTTTTTTATCAATTAAACGTTTTTTTGATGGTGATTCATCCTGAATAACGTGAAAACTCGGGTTCATTAAGGTCAACTAACATTATGAACAGCTGTTTGAATAAAGGGGGGTTGAAGAGATGAAACATGTTTCAATCTAATCAACAAATAGAAGGTTTAGTAACTAGTTAACAGTTACATTAGCCTAAATTAATTTAAGTATGAATTAACTCTATCTAGGAATTATTTCCAAATTATAAAAGGAACGTATAACAAATTTAAAAGTTTTCTTTACAAACAATTGACCAACAAAGCAATGAAATTCAAATTTTAAATCCTTGCACTAAACAACAGAATTTAATTAAATGTATTTAACAGCAATTTTTAAAAGTTTTTTTTACGAATTTACTATTTATATTTAACTTTGTCATTAATTATCATATTAAAAATCCTCACACGTTTCCACATTGGATCGTTTATGATTGGTAAATCACTTTTCTACTGTTATTAAGAAAATTATAATGATGATCATGATGCAAACATTGCTAATTAAAATAGTCGTTACTTGAAATAATCTTTGTGGCAATAAATTTTGTAGGAGTCTTCTTCGTTGACAGCAAAATCAAGACCATCCAAGCACAGACCACATTCGCAACATTTGAAGCAGCGTGGATGGTACGTTTGCTTCACCGCTTGCAATATCTGCCGGCAAAATTGAATTAATATATTTTTGATTATGTGATTGTTTCGATGTTTTATCATGAAAATGAAATAAAATTCAAGAAGGAATAGCGACATTGATGCTATCAATATTTTTGTATCTTCCAGGCAGAGACACTTGCTCAGTTAACCGAGTTTCTGGGCCCGAAAAATCTTAACTAAGGCAAGAAACAGTTTAGCGGGTTGCAACACTTTTAACAAATTGACTTTGAAAGGAAATATAATAATTTGATATATTTGGCTAAATGTTTTTGAAATGCTGTTTTAAAAGCTTAAAGAATGATTCAGTTGAAAAAAAACAGTTTCTTCAAAAATATGATAGCTGTTACCTGATCTTCAACGGGCTTTTTACATCCAAAACAAATAACCGAATTTGTTGTTTGTGGTTTGTGTTGCTGGTAGCCTGTTGATTGTTTGTTGCTTAGAATTTGCTTTTGATTGATGTTGTTGTGGAAGAGACTATTTTTAATGTTTTCTTGCTGATGTTTCTGACGAGGATTGGTGTGGTGATGGTCTTTGAAAAACTGACGTTGCTCATTCCTGACTTTTATATATTGTTCACCGTCGTTTAATTTGGGATGCATGTTTCTGGGAAGTGACCTACTCGTGACCGACAGATTTGTTGTCGGTCTGTCCGTGAACCTTTCATGCATTTGTTTCATTGGAGACAATTTTTTGGAGGTTGGTGTGCAATTAAACGAAGTTACAGCATCAACGTATTTCTCACAGGCTCTTGTTGGAGAGCAATTCACGATAATAGGGTTGACGTTTTCGATTGCATTGTCAACTTTTGTGTTATTATTTTTGTGGGCGTTTGTCTGCTGGTAACCAAAACTCGAATAACTATTATTGTTATTGATATTGCTGTTATAAAATCCATTCATATTATTGCGGCGGTTATCTTCACTGTTGTTTGTTCTTCCAGTGGAGTTAACTGAACGATCGTTGAAAGCATTGAAACTGCTGATGTGACCAAACCTTTTTTGCTTACTGTCGTCATGGCAAACATGCGAGGTTCCAATTATGTTGTTATTCTCTTTAAGATTAATTTTGTGGGTGATCTTAATGTCACTATCGTTGCTGTTTTTTATAAAGTTGTTGTTGTTGTTGTTGGTATTTTTCATGTTGTTGTTGATGTTTCGGCTGTTGTTGTTCCCTTCGTTGATTCGCTGATCAAAGTTCAACCTTCGCTTGGCATCCATACCTCAGGTTGTCTCCATTCAAGAGATTCCACAACACGATGCTGTTATTATTATTGCTCTTGTTAAATTTGTACAGTTGCTTGTTATTGAATCTTCTCACATCTTCGTTACGGTGAAAGAGTTTTATTATTATTTATGTTTGCTAGCTACTTGTAACACCTGTAATCCAGGTGAACGGTCTAATAGTTATTATTTGTAGTATGTAGAAACAATTATATATATATATATATATATATATATATACATATATATAAATTTGTTGAATCTGAAGTATTATATATACAGCCACGTAGTAGTGCGTACGTATGTGTATGCGTGTGTGTATGCGTGTGTGTGTGGGAGTGTGTGTGTGTGAGTGTGTGTGTGTGTGTATGTGTGTTCAATATTGTTTATACAATGTTATTGGATGTTTAATAACAGGATTCTTCAGTTATTTAGTTTTAATATTTTGAAAAATTGAACTATACCAATCGAATTCTACTGAAAAAGTCATGAAACTATTTAATAGATTAATTTTAAAACAACAAATTTTTTTCAATATCAAGCCAACAAAATCAAACAAATATCTCCAAATTGTTAGCTGTCAATTTCGATGTCATTTTTTATAAAACTTATTAAATTTTGTCTATTGAAATAGGATCGAACATAAAAGCTTTATCGTTGAAGAGATTGCACGCGACACAACGTTTGAAAAAAATGATACACTTAAAAATGACAAATACGCACACACACGCGTGCACACAGACACGCAAACACACACAGTCGATGCAGAGAAAAAATTAATTTAACAAATTCATGGTAACGCCACTTGAGGAAGACAGACAAACATTCCACATTAAAAGTTTTTATTAAGAATTAAGAGGTTTACGACGCACTTCAAAGCCAAGCATTTGATAGGACATCAAAGAACAAGCGAACTAACGGTGAGTTGTTATAGGATAATATTGTTATTATAAGTTCTTCACAGAACAAACATCCTTCAGTTTCTTGGTTGGCTGGAAGACTTCGTGATTATAAACTGGAATGAGAAGTACAAAAAATTAATTACAGAAACGATCGACCAACCAACTAGCCATAATAAAACCGCATGTCTGTGAAATTTACGAAATTAAATATAATATTTTTATGAATGAACTGAAATAACGAGAATTAGCTGAAAAAGTTATGTAGTTAGTGGGATTTTTAAATCATATCCCAGCGCATAATTCTGAATTCGCCACTGCAGACTAACGCACCACAGACTGTAAATTGGGCATGTTCAAGTTCATGTGATAACTTCATCATCTAACATATACAAATACAATTGTTGCGGAAAGTGCAGAGGATGGAAATCCATAAGGTGACCGATTTGATGTCAACAATTTTTTAGGATATATTATATATATATATATATATATATATATGTATATATATATTGGATTATTGGATATATATATATATATATATATATATATATATATATATTGGATTAAGACTGTAATCAATATTATATATATATAGAGAGAGAGAGATAGAGATTTATAAAGTGTAGTATATGTGCCGCGTATTTATAGTAATATAATCGAATAAAATAGTGATAAGTGTGTGAATGAGTTTATTGAACCAGCAAATATGCTTTTATATACATACATATATATATATATATATATATATATATGTTGGAAGGAAACCATATTTTATACAGTATTGTATGAATTCTACCGAATTGTTGGCAGTAATCAATTTAAAGTTTGTTTTTTCAATTTTCATTATTAGAATTTTCTGGAAATCGTTCAATTTATTGAAAATAGAAACAATTTTATGATGCACACACAAACACTATAAATATATATATACATACCACCCAAAATCATCACACATATTGCTATTTAATACATTATATAGACGCTTTCACTTAAATTTGAGCCCCATATTTAAGGCTGGATTGCTGTATGCATTGGGAGGAAACTTTAAATATCGCCAACACACACATGAACGCAAAAATATATAAGTATACAAATTTAACACTGACTGTGTATAAACTACACATCTTGGTATTAAATTTAAATAAGGCTTGAAAGTAAACGCTTCAACAAAAGTTTTGAAGAATTTTATCATCATTCTTCTGATTTTCAAGAAGCATAAATAAGTGAAAATAACAAAGTTTTTTGGTTACACTTTCCAAAGTTATTATCGCTTGTTTCACTTTCGTCAAATAAGTCAGGTTTTTTCCATTTGAAAGCTATAAAAAACACTTTTCAAGGCTGTTTGTGTCGAGTTAGTTTGATTTTGATTAGTCCTTGGCTGGATTCGCTCTTGCTGTTGTTGCGTGTGCTTGCACATGAATGCTATCATCTTCCAGTTAATTTTAATTTGATTGATGGCTTATTTTTGCACTAACTTTCTAAAATCTTAATTATTTTCGTAAAAATAAAATAATTTACTTTGTGATCTGACTATTTTTAAATAAGGTCGATTTACATTTTTACAAGATTTAATTAATTAAAATAAAATACTAATTTCTAATCTCTAATTTAAATTTAATTTAAAATTTAAATATTAAAATAGTAATTATTAAAAAAAATAATGAAAGTGAAAGTCAATTCTCAATTGTTAATTTGTTAAGTTAGTTTGGTGTTCGTCTAATATCTAATTTTAATTAAATTATTTATAATTATAATATATTAATTATTAAATCCGCCCAAAAAAGTAAAATGACTCACGTAGCAGGTGGCTTTGAGAACATAATCTTTGCTGCTGATTCGTACAAGGTAAGTAAAAAATATGTTTTTATGAAATAATTATGCAATGCAATGTAATATAATTTTATAATATAATATAATTTTAAATTAGTATAAAAAACGCATGCTTATCACCTAATTGTTCATATTAACTTCTTACCACATTGACAATTATTTACTAATATTATATTACAATTATATTAAAAATTTCATTTTAGTATTGATCCTAATTAATTAAACTAATATCTATTTCAAATGGCTACTCTAATGAAACTAATTTGGTTCAAATCATATTACAAAGGTAACTCATCACAAGCAGTACCCTGCTGACACAACTTATGCATATTCATACTTTGAAAGTAGAGGTGGGAAGTTTGACAAAACTTTATTTTTTGGATTGCAATATATTTTGAAAAGATGGATGGTTGGCGAAGTTGTGACAGAAAAGAAAATTATAGAGGCTAAGGAAGTTTTCGAAAAACATTTTGGCCAGGATGTATTCTATGAAGAAGGGTGGAGATACATTTTAAAGGTTTATTCACTGTCATTAGATTTTTATTTTTCAAGGTGTATTTTGTTTCAATGATTTGGTGTGGCTGCTTACCAATACAACAACACATAATTAATTAAATCAGGAACACAAAGGTAAACTACCCTTACTTATCAAAGCTGTGCCCGAAGGAACAATCTTGCCATACAGAAATGTTTTATTCACAATAGAAAACACAGACCCTAAATGCTTTTGGCTGACTAATTATTTCGAAGTTGGTTGCATTTTGTTGCATCTTCAACTTAAAATTAAATTTAGAAGTAATGTTCACAGTAAGATATCATGTGACACCAAAAGTTTTATTATATTATTGACAGACACTTCTGGTCCAAACCTGGTATCCGATGACTGTTGCCACAAACTCATATTACCAAAAATGCATCCTCAAGAAATACATGAGCAAAACAGCTGATTCAATGGATTCATTGAAGTTTCAGTTGCATGATTTTGGCTACAGAGGCTGTTCATCTGTTGAGGTCATTATCAATTTTAGACATATCTTCTGTAGTTATTTTCAATGCAAACTTATTCAATCTTAATCTACCAATGTTTAAAATATAACCACAATTTTAACTTTTGTTAATAAACATCATGTAATGATTTTATGCACTGTAGTGGAAAAAATACAAGAAAGTTATGTGATAATGTTATTTTGAGCAGAGCATTAATCGATGAAAATGCAATGAAATATTAGTCTGCAGCAATTGGAGGGATGTCACACCTGGTGAACTTTGAGGGGACTGACACGATTGCTGGTTTGCTGGCTGCCAGAACTTACTATAGCTGCAAAATGGCAGGTCACTCCATTCCTGCTGCTGAACACAGGTTTGTCCTTGTATTTTTAAAAACCTTATCCATTTAATTGCATCATGTTCTGAACATGTTTCAGCAACAAATTGTTTCAATAGCTCGCAGGTTTTAAAGATTTTTGTACATTGCTCAAATTGATAAGGCCATGTTTAGTAATACACAGTTATCGATTAATTTATTATAACAACAAATATAATCAAAAATTTTTCTATTTTCATTTCAAAACTCTACAGAAAACAATTTGTTTACGATTCGTAATATAATACTGATAAATAATTTGAAGCATTTCATAAAACGTAGCACCATAACAACATGGGGAGAATCCAACGAGTTGGAAGCTTTCAAGAACATGCTCACACAATTTCCTGACGGGTGTGTGGCTGTTGTAAGTGACAGTTACGACATCTTCAAGGCCTGCGAACAAATTTGGGGTGAGAAATTGAAGGATTGCGTCGTGAATCGAGGGAAGAATGGAGGCAGATTGATAATCAGACCCGATTCTGGAGATCCAGTGGAAACTGTTTGTCATGTAATAAGTATTCTTAGCTGTAATTTTAATTTTTGGTCAACACTATTATTTAATTTTCATCATCAAGCTGATACCTGGTCACGTAATTTTTTCTTTAGTTTGCTATCAGTTCCTTCTGTCCTTTGTTCAAAATTATTTCACTCTCAATTCAAATTATCTTGAACATGATAACGAGCACCAACCATTCAAATGTTGGGGTGTCCAGCAGAATTTCTCTTTATTTCGCAGTTCATGTGCTATCTCAATTCACACCAGTCTTTTTTAGTAACGTATTTAAGAATTTTTTTAATGAAACTGTATCTTATTAAGTCCCTATTACTTTTTTGCACTGACATGAAACATTTAAAACTATTTTTGCGCACTGTTTTGTAAATATTTGTCTCTTTTTTGCATTTTGTCTCTGAGATACCATGCTTCTAACTATTCGAAACTTCTTTTTTTAAATAATCCTTATGTAAACTTTTTTATTAACATTTTCTCTCATCCTTCCAAAGTTTTACGCTGACGCCCACCTCCCACATTTCTTGTTCATCACTCGTGCGTAAGCTGCCTTCCATTTGTTGCCTACAACTTATTTATAATAGTAACATCCAAAAACCCTTGGAATAAATATCATTACCGCATCAATATAAATATCTCTATCATTAATCTTTTATCCTCATATCGTAAATTTACACCATACAGGTCCTAAAAATTTTAGGAGAAAAATTTGGAACCGCACTGAACAAAAAAGGTTACAAAGTCCTTCCCAACTACCTACGAGTCATTCAAGGGGATGGAATTAGCTACGAGTCACTGAACGACATTTTAAAAGCAATCACAGATAAAGGCTGGAGTGCTGAAAATTTGGTCTTCGGTAGTGGAGGAGCATTGCTTCAAAGATTAGATCGAGACACTCAGAAATGTGCATTTAAATGCAGTGCCGTTAAGATCAACGATAAACTGGTTATTTAATTTTAATAATACATCTACATTAATTATTGTCTCCTTTTATTGGTACTTCTATACATTTATATCGTAGTTGATAGATGACACTTTTACTGTTTCAGGTGAATGTTTTTAAAGATCCAATCGGTGATTCAGGCAAAAAGTCAAAAAAAGGTAAATTAAAACTGCTGTGCAACAACGGGGTCTACACAACAGTAGAACAATGCTCTTTGGATGACAATGATGTGAACGTAAGTAAACTTAATTCGATGCGTCTCAGAAGATTAAAACATTACAAAAATAAATTTTTGGTCCAATATAATTTATTCTATTCAAACATCCCTTCGTTCAAAAGGACATCTTAGAAGTGGTTTTCGTGGATGGTGAATTGAAAAGAGATTGCACATTGGACGAAGTTCGGAAAATAGTGCAACAATATGAATTCTGCGAAATTCATTGAAATGTTGCCATCCATTAGCCATTATTTCCAGGGACAATCTTTTACAGAATATTTTTATGACATCATTGCACTTTTTTTGTTCTACAATATCAGCTGCCGTGTTTGTTCGTTATATTTCGTTCGTTATAATATATTTGTTGCCAATGGCGGATCTATCGGGGACCCCGTTGTGAGCGGTATTTCTCTGGAACTCTCTACCTCCTTTTCTCTGGAACTCTCTACCTCTTTTTTGACTACTTCTCCATCACTTACGAAGTTCAGAGCGGATCTCAAGACCAATCTGTTTGCAAAATTCATTGAGGAGCGCTGTTGAACATCGCGGAAATGGCGCTTTATAAACTGATTGATATTTTTAATAAGTCAGAAAGACTCAGTTTTTTCACAGAAAAAGCACCATTTTGTGTAAAGGTCGCCTACCTATTTTTTTTAATCTTATCTAATTTTGGCCACACTACCACAAATCTTGGCCCCCGTCAAAGTTTAAACATGTAGACATTTTTCACAACGGCTTCCCGTCAAAGTTGTCTTGATCCGCCACTGTTTGTAGTTAACATGACATTTTATTTATAACAATTTAAGCCCGGTTCGAACAAGAAATATCTTGTTACTTTTTTTTTCTTTTAGTATTTATTAACATTAAATTAATAACTTCATTTGGTAATATTAATTAAAAAATGAACGTGTCAACATGAATAATCTGTCTTTAATTTAGAAATTAATGAATGTTTAAGTCTTTTTAATAAAACGAATTTAATGTGCTGGTAGAAAATTTGGAGACGTTATAAGAGTATTGTCATCGGATCGAGCTGCTCTCCATGAGAACTGATGCAAGATCCAAAAGTTGAAGATATTCATCTGCACCTTCCATCAGGCACTTGTCAACGATCTGGGTGAAGTTTATCAAACGGGCTTTAATAAAATTAAAGAATTACATTAAATAAAAACCATTTCGACGAGTATCAAAAACTTTTGAAAATGCGAAGCATCAGGAAATCCTAGTGCTGTCAAACTTGAAACATTTGCAATACTGAAGGGCCTAACTAATTTACCATTTTAAAACTTACGAAGTTTTAATTTCGTTAAGCAGAACTTTGTCATTTGCAGAAAATATAACGTGAGATTAGATTACTTACGCCCATTTTTTCGCAGATAATTGATTTTTGTTGGTCGCTCAGTGAATCGTTCGAGACGACGTTGTCATGCAGTTGAAATAACAACTGCAAAACTGATTTCCCGTCAAGAATGAAATCCTGTGAAAAACAACACGATGGAAAATTGAAATACATGTGCTCCTGGAAGATTTAAAAATTAATAATGATAATTTTATAGGTCTTATAATTTAAGTAAGGTTGATTTGATTCGTGATTAATAAAAATCGTGCTAATGTTGAAAATGATAATATGCAGACTACAACGAACCTTAACATGTTGCTGTATGACGTCATGAGAACCGGAAGCACATGCTGCCATGAACTCGCTAATCACTTCATCTTTCAAAACCTTTATTCACCATCATTACAAATCATCATTATCATAACCGAAACCGTCATATTTTAAAATATGCAGTAAACAACAAACGCATTTGAACAGTTTGGACATAAACCTACTTTTTATTCGTTAAATAAGTTCACTATTCATTCTTTCTCACTCAAGCACACATTAAAAACAAGAGCCACCACCCCGGTCAACAGACCCCAGCAATGTCGATGACTTCCTGGTTGCTGATGGATGGACAACTTGACATCCTGGCAGCCGTCTGGAGTGTCGTGATGGCCTTCCTCATATCTCCATCCGATACATCTATCAACGTCTTCAAAGCCTGTCCGTACAAATGCACCCCATACAATTTTGAACGTACAGCAAAATTTTTTCGTTAATTAGCATCTTTAAGATATTAGCATCATTAGTATCTTTAAGATTTTTATTATCGTGTTTTTTTAAATTAGGCACGTAAAACATCTAAAGAAAAATATGTGATTCATCCAACATAATCATTTCTATGGAGATTTCAAGCCTGCTTATATTGGCTAATTTAATCAAACAATGCTTAGAATTTTATTAGAAGTATATTTATAGGTGAACCACTATCAAGCATCAAGTAACCCACAAAAAGAGTATGAAATAAAAATTCTCTTATAAAAAATACAAAAACGCTTGTGCAACTGAGAATGTTTTAAATACCATACCAAAATCTAGTGAGCACAAAACTGAAAAAATTATTTTGACATGTATGTATGTACAACCTCCTCGTCAATGTTGACATTTTCTTTTTGGCAGATTTCCTTCAACTTATCTGTGAGGACCTCGGTGGGCAGAGGTTTGAATCGAAACTTGGCACACCTTTATAGCAAAATGATAACTAAAAATGTCAGTCTATTTAGAATGCAACATTGTATCTGTAGATTTCATTAAATTTTATTCATTCATAATTTAGTCCACCGTCAGAATAGCACCAAACGAGAAGGAAGAACTTTCTTGCACTCAACCTGGACGTGAGAGGCTCGATGATTTTGGTGACGTAGTTGCAAATAAGGCAAAACCTGGTAGACTTGCACTCCTTCTCCATAATTCTTCTGAGGGCAGCCTTATAAGTATCACCATTGCATTGTGACAAAATGTTGCATATCACAGCGTTTAATTATATTCGTTTATAAAAATATCAATGCACAATATAATGACAAAGTCATACAAGAAAAATTCTTAAATCGTGAAAAAACCATTATCAGCCAATATTTGAAAACTCTAAATAATAAGTATTTCACATAAGCAAAAAATTTCCATCCATCATAAATCGAATTTTTTTTTTATTACAAGCAGGAATGATGATGATGGTTGTGGTGGATAGTATGTAATGAAAAAAGGAGAATGTATGAAAAAGGAGAAGAAGAAGACCTGTGCAGCTCCTGTCATTGAATCAGCCTCGTCGAGGATGACGATTTTTAACGGCGGACACTTCTCACCATTCCTGGTTTCAAACCAAATAAAACAATTTTGAGTAAATAAAAATTACAAACAATTTTATATAATTTAAAGAAATCAGTGTATTAAGTTAAACAACGAACATGTTAAGAGAATTAAACCATTTGCAAGGGAGCTATCATACACCATTGTAACAATCGCATGGAATAGAGTGTGTTAAAATGAAAATTAATTACACAAATGACTGAATATTTGGCAATAACAAGCCTCACTAAAATGCTAAATAGTGTTTAATTTGAAATGAATAGAAAAATTTTCAAGAACATTTGGATTGAATTTGGTGGACAAAAGCATAGAATTAGAATAACAATGTAGTCAATCTTTATTGAATTTCATGCAGACAATGGCTACTAACACATTAACAGACGATGATACAGATATCTGAGAGAAGTTTTTGATTTTCTCTCTAACTACATTGATGCCTCTCTCATCTGATGCATTCAGCTCGAGAACACGCTCACGGAACATATCTCTACAAAATATTAATTTAACTACAATTTTATTTGTTTATTAATAAATTTTAACAAACATTATACAATGCTTGTCTGTCTATGTATAAGAAGAAAAGGCAAGATTAGAAACAAGGAAGAGATAAAAAACTGAAATTAGATTCTACACTGGATTCATAAAACTATGGAAGTTATTAACATGACCAATAATTAATTATCGTATGCAATGGTGAAAAAGAAGAGAAGTTCCATCAAGCGTTGACCATGAACAGGTTTAAAGGTGACTGAACTGATGAGGGCCATTGTAAGAAATTATCTAGGAGAGAAAAATATTTTTGTTGAGGACAAAATAATAATTATGTATTAGAAGAAAAAAGAACAATTTAGCTGGACCAAATATAAATCAAACCAAAATGAAGAAACATTTTAAGGAAGTAGTGTAAGTTAGCACGAACAAAAACTGAGATAAAAATTTATCATATAGTTCTGAAATTATGAACTCAAATATTGATGACTTTTTTATGTAAAGATTGATAATTTTTCAGCAGCAAATGTTTTGAACTAACCCAAACAATTCCCTAGCCAATGCAAGGATTGTTGATGTTTTACCAGTGCCCGGCGGTCCATAGAACAACAAATTTGGAAGCTGAAAAGTTAATTCAAACAAAAATATTTTATTTTACCATTATAAAAACAATCTTTCATTATAAAATAATCATAATTAGTAGAACTAAAAAATATTAAAATGCAAATTGAAACTGCAACATAGAAACTCAAAAAAGTTATGAAGGATTAATATTCACTCTATATAAAGCTATTCACATTGATGAATATGAAACTACACAAAACACTGATTTCCTAATTGTATTTAAAACAATCAGTTAGATTAGATGCCTATCAAGTAATATTCCAAGAAAAATTTTTCTAATCTATTTCCATTGAAAAAAACATTAAAAATAATTTGGAATTATGTTTTTATATCATATTATGAAGATTTAATGAAAATGAACCAAACCTCCTGACTGATGAAAGATTGCTTCAGACATGCCACAACTTCATCCTGATGGGCCACGTTACTGATGCATTTCGGTCGACTGTTTGATTGTTATAGTGTGATGAACATTACATAATATCTTGAATAATTATTTTAATCTAATTTATTGTAACACAATTTTATAATCTTAACATAAAAATCTCAAACAATGTTTGTATTGTTAAAGAAAATGAAGTAAAAATTCAAGTAAAATTATTAAAAGTAAATCAATAATTTAAAAAAAAGTAAATAGTAAAAATCTAATTAAAAATTATTTTAATTTAAATTAATTAACTAATTAAAAAAATAACTTACTATTTTTCCACCCAAGGTTTATCTGGTTTGTCAGTTTTCATTTTCTTATGCTATTTATGTCAAATTATCAGTACAAATTTATAAAACATTAATAATTTAATTCAATTTATAACAAAATAATAATAATTCATAAAATAAATAAACAAGCAAAAAATAATTCTATTTTTTTAATTTAGAATTTAGATTTTAGAAGAGTTTACTTAGATTTTATTTTAATTTTAGTTACTAATTTTATTTAGTACACTTGATATGGCAAAATCTTAGAGGAGTGCCAGCAACATGAAAGATAGGTATGAATGAGTAGGTGCACATGATTATAAAGCGTGAAAACACTCTTAGAAATATAAATTTTAATTTAAAAAAACCTAATCTAATGCCTAACCCTCACATTTTTTTATATTTTATAACAAATTACAACAGCTTATTTACGTGTGAAATTGTTTTCAATTCAATTGAAGGCACTGTCCTAGGATTATACCCTCTTAATACTTAATTAATTTAGTTATAGTATTAGCAAAGTTTTAGATATGATGTGATATGATAAAAATTAAAATTTAAAATAGCCATAACAAATAAATTAATAACCTCAATTTTAAAGAGATGAAAAGTAAACTTATGTTTAAAACTGTTTTACCACCAAACATATATATATATATATATATATATATATATATATATATATATATATATTATATATATATATATATATTCTATTTTTTAGTTATATGTATCAAACAGTATCTAACAGTATCTTGTTGAACAAAGTAGTATCATCATATAATTAGAATAAGTATCATAAAATAAATAAAGATACTTTTTTTAAAAATTTAAAAAATTCTCAATTTGATTTCATTGCGATATCGATGATGATGATGATTGTGACCTGACTAATTAAAAAACATTAAATAAAATTTATAAAATAAGATGTGTATATCGTTGCGAAATCGTTGGAGGAAATGAGTAATGACGTCATGTTAACAGTAGTTATTTTACTGCATGGTAGTTAAACAGCCGGTATAAAGGTTATATTCAATTCCTATCAAATAAATTTAACCAATTATCATACGCAGGCAAAAACTAAATAAAGAAATAGATACGTAGATATAATACAATTATAATGTTGTATTTACCCATTCAAATTGTACAATTATGTTATGGTGTGGTCTCAAATTATTTTGAATTCTGTTATAATATAACTTTTTAATATATATATATATATATTAGTTACTTTTATCAACAATTTTTAAAAAAATTTCAATTTGATTTCATCGCGATATCGATGATGATGATTTTGACCTGACTGATTAAAAAGTATCAATGAGAATTTTTAAAATAAGATGGAGAATTTGTTATATTGGGATATTCGTATATAAAGGGAGTAAAATTTTAATATAAAAGCGCTTATAAATCTACGCCTATTGGCTCAGCTTGGCTTGGCTCGGCTTGGAATTGGATGTTAAGAAAGGTGTGGTCTCAAACTATTTTGAATTCTTCCCGAAAAATTTGAACTGCGGCGTACATATGTAGCACTGATTACCGTTGCTTTTATAATGAATTTATATTATATATATATATATATATATATATATATATATTTATGTCAAATAGCCCGACATTAGCCACATAACTAGATTAGCAGATGTAATTTAATAGAATTCTTATATAGGTAGATGTCACCTTATCAAACTAAGGACGCTACTAAAATCCAAAATAATTTATAACAAATAGTAAAAGTTTCACCAATAATAGCATATAATTTTCTGAGAAGCCATTTTATTTTTTACCTTATTAATCATTTAAAAAAAATATATTTTAGAATTGAGGCGTTTGGTTTGCTTTCTGGAACATAGAATAATGAGAATTGTTTCTTGGAAATTTCTTAAAAATTTTGTCAGCCGCAGGCAAAAATTCGACTCCGTCTTAACGCTCGTTTGATATGTTTTTTTTTAATTTTTAATTAATTAAAATAAAATGGTCTGTTGCTCGGATTTATGGTTTCGACGAATGCTCACTTTAATAATTATTTTCATCTCTGTTGATTTTAAAGGTGAGAAATTTAATTTTTTATTTGAATAATTCAAGAACTGGAATTGTTATCTGTTAAGTTACTGTTAAGTGTTACTGCTGTACTGTGCTGTCCATTTTTAAACTAAATTTTAATTTTGGCTTTCTTAGGTTAGAAACGACGGATAATTATGGTTTATAATATAATTAGTATTAGTCCAACATACACTTTACAAGTTTACACTGGTTACACTTTACTGCTTCATTGCATTGCTTATTTTATATTTATTATTTGTTATTTCTTTAGTTAGTTTTTTAGAAGATTAGCATTAGATTTAGTAGTTAGACTACTATCATATTATATTTATAATTATATATTTGATTATTTATTATATTTTGTAGGTTTATAAATGTCATGACTGCACTCGATCTTTTTTATAAAATAATTAAAGCATGTCAAGGGTTTATTTAAAATATAAAATAAATAAACCCTATAATTTTGTATAATATAGGGTAGCAACATATAAATTTTATATGTTGATTATTTAGTACATAGTCATTGTTAGTTATTGAATTCATTTTATTTTTAGTACTTTAGTTTTTATATAAACAATATTTTTTGCACAGGTGTCTTATCTTTGAAATGTCTTTACAAGAATGTATCTCAGACAAACATCACTAAATTACCTATGCTGCACTTGAACTCGAACAATTCACTGGAATTACACCAGGAACCAGCAGCACTTACCATTGAATGTTCCGGCTACTGCTACTCACTCTGGTCACTTACTGCAACAAAGTTGAATGACGATGATCTTACTAACATTCAGATGCAAGGCATGATAATAACGATATTATTTTATTTATCTTAGTGTATAGTTTGAAATTATTCAATCATTGTTTTTTTTAAATTGTTTAATTAAATTTTATTTTTTTAAATTATTTAATTTCAAAATGATTAAACAAAAGGATGTTGGGATCACATGGATGATATGTATAACTGTGATCAGTTGGAATGCATATCAAGAGTGCCTCTATTGACAGCAAGCATGAGGAACAACACGAGGTTCTGCTGCTGTTCCACTCCCTACTGCAATGCGAATGTCACTGATGCTATCAACATGACTGCCTACGAAATAATGAGATCTGAGTTCTTGATGCAAAGTTTTGACCCGTATGATGACGACGATGGTAGGTTAACTGTCAATGTTTCATTTGTTTCTTTACACTTAAACTTCTAAAATTGAGACATATTGATCTGGTTGATAAAGGTTTGTTAACTATTTCAGATGTCCCAGAGAAAAGAAATGAATATTCAATTGTGCATGTCATTCTCATATGTCTGCTCATCGTTCTGACAGGCTTTTTGATTGGATTTCTGTTGCGTTGCTCACTGAATTATTATGTTCCCAATTGCCTTCAGCCTAAAAAACAGCAAGAAAATGTTCCATTTCTTATGCAGAATGAAAAGTTATCAACATGCTTCACAATAATTCCACATACAATTGAAATGAACAGGTTAATTATTGATCAGGTACTTTCTGAGGGAAGGTATGGCAAGGTCTATAAGGGGTCATACTCAAATGAAAAAGTATTTACCTCACTATTTCATTTTGCACGAGTTTTTACATTCTGTCTAATTAAATTTTATTTTCAAATGCACCAGGTGGCAATAAAAGTTTTCTTTCCTCGATATTGCGAGTACTTCACAAATGAAAAGAATGCATATTCCCTGCTGTCAGAATGCCAGCATCCATGCATCTTGAAGTACATCGGATGTTTTCAATCGAGTAACAAGACGATGGGCACCAATTCTGATCATCATTCATCTGTTTTCACGATTGACGAGCACACAATTGCTCGCTTCATCATCGTCACGCAATACCAGTCGCTAGGAACGTTGTCTGCATACCTCAGGAGTAACACTTTAACATGGGAGCTCCTGTGTAGGATGGCCTCATCCATTGCATCTGGAGTCTCCTATCTTCATGCTGAAATCAAAAATAAATGTAATTATTAAATTATTTCGATAATGTTTATTACCGTATTTAAAAAAATTGATTTTTAAATTTTGTACATTAATTTTTGCCAGTGTACATTTGAGTTTTAATCATGCTAGCAGGCCCGTACAAGCCAGTGTTGGTGCACCGAGATATCAACCCCCAGAATATCCTCATTAAGAATGATTTGTCCTGTTGTATATCAGATTTTGGCTTCTCCATGCTCATCACTTCATCATCATCGTCGTCGACTGCAGACGTGAATCATTCAAGCAACAACTCCTCATCTAATAAGGCTTCACTGACTGATGTTTGTTTGTTTGTTTGTTTGTTCGTTCGTTCGTTTGCTCGTTCATTTGTTTGTTTATTATAATTTTTAAGTTTGTTCATTTGTACAAATTCATACAATAGAGCAGTGTGTCGTTATCATTTAATTGCATTTCTTGTTATTTAATTGCTACCTTTTTTGCTACTCCTTACTTGTTGTTTGTAATAAATTTTTCTTGCTTGCCAATATGTTTTAAATAATCAATGCCAAAGTTTTCAAAATGATTATGCTGTTGTTTCATAGGATTCACAATTTTGTTATCCAAATAAAAATTAAAAATTTCATAATTTTATTTATCACATTTGTGAGATTCAACAACTTTACTTTATATGTTAGTACAATGATATTTATATTGATGATAATGATGGTGATGCTGATGATGATACAGGTTGGAACGTTGAGATACATGTCACCAGAAGTTCTTGACGGTGCGGTGAACTTGTTTGACTGCAAGATGTCACTGACGCAAGTCGATGTGTACGCCATGGGCCTGGTCCTATGGGAGATGGCTTCAAGATGTGCTGATTTGTATAAAGGTACAAATTTTTTTGCTGGCAAAATGTGGCTTCCATGTATGCTTCTCTACGTTTTAATGCATCCATGCTACAATTTATAAATTTACATATAAGTCGTAGTTTCTCTTAATAATTTGTATGTAGAATTTGCTGGAACAAAGTTCTATGTTTTGAATATTTTGTTCCATTAAGTTTGTAATTTATAACCGCAGAGTTTAAAATATTGTTTTTTCAGATGAGTTGAACATTCCAGCATACAAGATGGCCTTCGAAGAAGAACTGGGCAGACGAGTGACGTTTGAGAACATGCAGATCTTTGTCTCAAAGAACAAACGAAGACCAACATTCAACAAACTGTGGAAAGCCGACAGCAGAGCAATAAAATTGTTGAAGGAGACAATAGAGGAATGTTGGGACCAGGATGCAGATGCTCGCATATCAGCTCTCTGCGTCGACAGGAGGTTTTCAGATCTCAGCTTCTCCGCGCCGCATGTACTCGACTCCTCTGCAAGCACAACATCAACTGACCTTAACATCAGCACTGCACCGCACAACCACAAGATGCTAAAGATGAACAGAACATCAGTATCTTACGGCACTGATACCAGGTCTGGTAGTGACAGGAGTTCATCCATCGCTCATGATGCTACATTTCATGGTTAGCTCTTTTGTTCATTGTCGGATTGATTGATTGATTAATTGATTGATTGATTGGTTGATTGACTGATTGATTTTTCTTCATCATTTCAATTTTCATAAATTAGTTTGATTTTTCTAGCATTTTTTACAATTTTTTTTTACATTTTTTGCTCGTGGAAAGTGATGATGAATAAACATTACAAAAATAATATTATGTCCCCACAGGTAAACGCTACCAATGTTTCAATGCTTCGACATCATCATCAACCCAGGGTTATTCGTCATCATTATCAAGAACATCATCAACAGTTGAAGTCAAGGAACGTGGAAGTGATATTGTGCTAAATAATTTGAACAGTGACAGCCATGTTTCGTGCAGCAATGCCGTTAGTAACTCTAATGTTGATAGCTTCGAAGAGGGCTATCATGCAAACTACCATCATCATCGTCGTCATAATCATCATCAGAATTATCTTCCTCCTCATCGTCATCCTCCTCCTCTCCCTCCTCAATCCCTCCAAGTAGAGCCACTGTTGATGCAGCAGCGTAGAGTTGATGTTAATTGTAACGGTACCTGTGCCGGTCATGATAATGATGTCTGCGATTCTGGTACGCCGATGGTCGTATGCGGTGGAGACCACCTACTGAAGGATGTGACGTCACTTCATCATCATCACCATCAACATCAGCAACATCATCATCATCATCGGTCGAGGTGTAGGAACCCTTTTATGTCAAATTTGGCTTTGTGGTTTTCATCAAGTAAACGAAATAAGAGTAAGAACGCGAGTACAAACAATGATGATGGTGACTATGAAAATGAGGAAGATGATGATGGCAATGCTACCAATGACAATCATGAAAGAAGAAATTGTAAATTATGTAAGGTGACGGATGTGGACTACGCAGCAGTAGATGTAGGCCATGGTGGAGTTGTTGTTCGGGCTGGCAAGGCATGATCAGTGATCTGTTCATTTTGCTCATTCGCTTTTTTTAAATTGTTTTCTTCAAACATTCATTTCTGAACAATATCAATATCATCCTCATTGTAAATTTTTTTTTTTTACATTTTTTTTCGTATGCTACTATTTATATTAGTCGGACTGACTTGAGAGCAACATGGTACTCAGTTATGGCATCCGAAAATGTAAAAGCCGGTTCTTGAAATTCGTTTAGTATTTAGAAACCAGTTAGTTATTTAGTCATTGTGTGACAAAACTTACCTAGTTCCGTTCTTTTAAATTTTGTAACACAAACAGTATTTGGATTCTCTACTGCCAAATTGTTTCATTTCGATTCAACATTTAGTTAAATTATGCATTATGATTGTTTAGTTAGCAAAATAGGAGCAACACATTTTAATTCCTTACAGTTTTTAAGCTAAAATTATGAAATTTTAAGAAAATTTACGTATTTTGGCACAAAAAATATTGTAAATTCATAACTTTTTGAGATTAATTTTTCAAAACCGGTTCTTTCAGGTTTCAAAATTTTGAAAACGGTTTTCTTGAACCGGCGCAATGCCAGCACTGGGTGCTCTGTTCTGCTACAAGCAAGTTATAAAGGCGGTAGGTGATGTTTCAGCAGATTTCTTGGTGCAAAATGTCATAGAAGTTTTCACGTTGTTGCCGCTATTGTCGTTTGATGATTTTATTTCATGGCTAGTGTGTGTGTGTGTGTGTGTGTGTGTGTGTGTGTGTGTGTGTGTGTGTGTGTGAAATGCAAGATGTGAGCGTTTTGTGATATAAAGTGTTCGCACTTTTGTTCACAGCAATTACATAAAAAAGTGAACTGCAAAATAATTTACTTTACGACAAAAGGTTTTGAAAAGAATTTATACTTATTAAACTGTACCTTACCTCGGAAAGCAGAAAACGAAACATTTGTAATAATTATTATTTAGCTTCAGTCAATAGTATTTCAGTTCATTCTTTATATTCACGAGATAACAACCATGCATATTGGAATGCGTGAGCGGAGATTTCGTTGTAACACGTGAAGTTCCATTTAATTTCACGCATACACAGAGCTACATGTGCATGTGTAGCCGGTTGCCTGTATGTGGACAAGTGAAGTTTAAAATATTTTGAGATCCTCGGCAATAGTTCACGTATTGTTGATATTGTTGATATTGTTGAGTTTTACTGTACAAAGTATTTCTATTTACAAATTTATTTTTCACGATAGTTTCAACATAGATAGATTAGTATCATTATATTTTGACTTGTACGCTATTGTCAATCAATTTCTCAGTAAACATCACAACTTTTTCGTGTATTTTTACCTTCATCATTATTTTGTAGTCTAGATGTATATTTCTTAATAAGTGTGTGCGGTGTGTGTTGTTGTGTGGCGTGTGAATGTGTGGATGGATTGTTCCTCAGTTGCAGCTGACGACAAAATGTTCGAGTTTGCTGTTCAGTTGTTCAGCGGTTTCCAGTGTGTTTCCTTTTTTCATTTTTGTATTCACGTATTATTTTTATGCGAGTTATTCGAACAGATACATTAAGTTATTATAATGCTGATATCTTCAATTTAATACATCGCTCTTGTTTTATCATGTTATTGAAATCATAGTAGTACATTTTTTTATTTTAGCCTAGAAAGTTATTTTTTATTTTGTTCATATATTGTAAACACATTTCAACAAAAACCCTGCTTCCTTTTATATCTTCGTAAATTTATCTTTTATGTTAAAAACGTTGCAACAAGTGACTGATTGATTGTTCAGCGCTTATTTTCATGGTGTGCAATGGGGTTATAAAAATTTTAATTGGGTTTATAATAATTTTAATTATTTTTATTAAATTCAATTGTATAAAGTGCGGGATTTACATTATAAATGAAACATTTGTTGCAGGACTTATGATAGTATGGGAGGAGTGTGTTGCACTAATAACGACTAAGAGTTTGTTCCTCATTAAAGCACAAGCGAGCAATGAAAATCTTGCAGTTTACCAACATTACAGTCTTCTATAATATTTAATGCCTAATAAAATGAAGTCTTAATTAGGGCCGGATTTTTGAATAGCTAAATAAAAAAATTCCCTGTGCTTCTAATTTGCAGGGGTCCAGGTTTCAACTCCATTCTTCATATTCTGATGTTGATATTGAAAGCGAATAGTGTTGCAGATGTTTCCATCGTGTCCCATTTACATCATAAGAAGTCGTTCTTTGTCATTTTCCGGAGAAAAATGTATACGCTGCTGTCTCACATTATCAGATCAAAAGATAGCGCATTTATCCGCAGACCATTCAATTTATAAGAGGTTTTGAAACAATTCCAAAAGTTTATGTGTACAATTATCGAAACCTGCTAAGGCACAATCTTACTGTCCAGTTCATCAGAACACAAAATACATTCAAGAAGTAATCTTTATACAAAAGAGTAAATAAATGAAACTTCTGCAGTAAGCGATAAAAAAACTACTTTAAAATAATACCAATGGCCATAAGGCAACATCAAAACAGTTTTTATGATATCCAGTCAATGAATTAAATTCATTTAACCAGCCAAGGAATTTTTTTCAATAAATGCATTTTAAATTATCTGAGAAATCGATACAAGATGAAAAAAATAGCAGAGTATCTAGAAGATGTAAAAAATCCATCAAGCTATTCATACAACTAAAAATTAACTTTGATGACACTGATGTAGGAGAGTTAATACGATGAAAGGTGATATCTGAAACCTTTTTTTAAATGGCTAAAAGAAGTGGAAGGTTGAGCGTCAAAAAATTTCTTCCGAATCAATATTTTGATAGCGGTAATTTTCTAACCCCCAGATTTCCGCGAACCTATTATTAATATATTATTTGCAAACGGTTTTGATCTTTTTTTACGTGTAACAGTAGTAAAACCATCAACATCAATTGTTTTTAAAAGCCTCTGATATGAAAAAAGTAGCAATAAGCAAAATTATATTCAACTGTACGGAATGAAGTCTAAAAGTGAATTCTTAAAACGTTCATGATTATGGTAGCAATAAAATAGAATAGATTATGTATTATATTTGATATTTGAGAGTTGATAGCAATTTGATATATCGCCTGTTTCTTTGTGCTGTCATACGAGGACTGTTCATAGAGTTACCGCCAGTGAAACGCCATAAAAAAGTTTTGTAGGACGTGCATGAGCAGATGTTTTCTATTATCAACAGCCAATTTGACATTACTTCAACAATGACTCCTTTATATGACTTGTGATTGAATGTTTAATCTCAATGGGGGACTTAAATTCTCATGTGAACAACGCACAAAGTATGTTGTGTTGTTCAAACACGCCACACACACGCGAATGATTATTATTTCAAAGTAATTTTTAAAAATTGGTAGACATTTTAATTCTCCTGTTACTTTTTTCAGTTCTTTTTTATTTTTCAAATAATCATTTTTAATGACTAGAAAAAACATTAAAAAACTCACAAGCAAATTAATTGTAACAGAATAAATGTTAAAATTAAAAAAATTTATAGCACAATTTATAATGATAAATTGTTTCTAGATTTCATCACTAATCCATCTATATTTTTGTTAGCTAATTTACAATCCAGTTGCAAAAACCAATCCAAAGCGAAATCATTCTTTTGAAATAAAAGTTTGATTCATAAACGTCTTTGAAAGGTTGTGGGCTACACTTTCATTACTCGCCTTGTCCGTATAATTTGTTTGTTGCTTTCAACTTCCGTCAACGTTTAACAGCAGAGCTTATTTGTATATTAATCATGAGATGAACATCGTGGCACGCACAATGTAAAGCGAAGGAAGACTGCATATGCAAAAAGAACCGTTTAACGAAACTGTCGAAGACTTGAGGAATCAAAACTGTTTATCAGCCACCAATGAAGATTAGAGTAAAATGACTTATATATATTCAGAAAAATTGTTTGACAAAATGTTAATATCGACGTCGCACAGAGGTTTTATTCCTAATGATACATCATAGCCATCGTTGTCAATTTTCAAAGTATTGAAGTTCGTTGCATCTTCAAACAGTCTCCTTCTCACGCTGTTTTCTTGCTGGCGTTTTAGTTTGTCTTGTTTTATTTTAGTTGAACGATCGAAAATCATGTTATGCTTTCTTACACTTTTAAAATTTTTCATGTTTATTTTGTTCCTGAAAATATTTGAAATCCCAAAGTTTAACGTCGTTTGGTCTTCATCCCAATCTTCTACAAGGATGTGATTTCGAGGTGTTTGAAATATGTTGTTGTTGTTGTTGCCAAAGGTTTGGTAGATGTTGTTACGATGCGACGTTACATGCAGTGGTGTGGCCGTGATTACAAAACTTTTGTACATGGGAATCAATTTCTCGTGACCGTTTCCAATGGTTCCAACGTTCTGACTTGCAATATTTTTGAAGCCTTCCAATAAAGAATTATTATCTGTACCTACAGAAGTTGACTGCCATGAATTAAACTTAGGTTTAGAATATTTGTCGTCGTTAACATTGTTATTATCGCAACTCTTTATATTATGAAGGTAACCATTTGGATTGAGCGGCAAGTCATTGTTATGAATTTGATGACGACGAGAATTTGGCAGAGGCGGTTTCGCTTCCATTTTAAGGGGAATTTTATCTTTTTCAGATTTTTTAAGGGCAATTTTTGTTATTGGAATAATTTTCCACTCTAATTTTTTTAATTTAGCACCGTCGTTTTTAAAGGATTTGTTTAATGTTGACTGGCTCGATCTGTAATCGTCTCCATTTAAAGGTTGTAATTGTTTAGTTTCATTTCTTTTGTATTTAGAAGATTTTGTAGAGAAGCTAATGAAGTTTTTAAATTTTTCCACAAAACTTTTGTTACTTTTATAGCTTCGATCATTGAAAGCATATCCATTTTCTTCTAAAACAGGTTCACTACGACTACGCTCATGAAAATAATCGTTATTCATTTGAGAGTTTAAAAAACTGGTATTGTTATTATCACAACCCATAAAATTATTAAAATTAATAATGTAATTAAGGGAAAAAAATATTCACAAGTTTTTATATTAAATTACAAATAAAAATCAGACAAAGTGCATTTTACAACAAATTCTTATTTTAACTGAGTGAAATGCTGATTTATAACGAACGTCTTTTACAGAAGATTCGCATGAATGATCTCCGAGCAGATGTTGCGGTGCAATTATTAATCTACTTGCACATATTTATAATGATTATGTACACATGTAAATTAAAATCGCACACATATTCACGTAAATTATTACGATACATAGGACTTATTTTTTCAAATGTTTCAATTAAAACTCTTTAAATTTAATCGTCTACACAAAGTTTTCGTTTTTGATAACATAAAATATAAATCAATTTCTTCTTATTTATTTAATTATTTTATTTACGTTATTTTATATACGTTAAGTTTAACCATGCCCACATCATATGTTCAACATCCCAATGCCATGAATAAAGAATGATTAAGTGGCTCATTATTTTCAGAAGTTCTCTAATGTTGCAGATTTGTTGTTGTCTTGTTGTGTTGCACTCTTTTTCTTATTTTATAAACTTCATAACCCAATTTTAATTATACACGTGTAAAGGTTTTCTTGCAAAAATGGTGCGTTTTTTAAGCAAATTTAGTAAACATTAATGGCGTGTAATTTATTTTCTCGAACAGTTCAGTTATCTAATACTGTGAGGTGGTGTTGATTTTTGTGCGCGTGGAGTTGTTTGGTCTGTAGTTTGGTGATTGTTGATTGATTGTTTGTTGATTATTGTTAATTGTTGTTTGTTGTTGTTTTACACCTGTTTTGTTAATGCCATGTGGTTTTCTTGGCGTTATAAAGAAGCTTAACTAGAATCAAAAGTAGAAATGACTCCATCCTTTTATAGATTGTACAGTGATCAATTATAATTGTTACAAACGTAAATTTAAAAGGATGGGTTTGTGTAATCGGTGAGAGTCAATAATTACATTTACTCAAACCCTTACAGATCAACATTTTCTTTAGGTGCTTTACTTCAATTCCTAACTTTGAACCAATATGATTGACTCGTGTCTCTTCTCACTTACGTCCGGCTAAACAGTTTAGTAAAGAGATTTCATGATTTGAAAGTTGGCGTGTCGAAAAGTTTAAAGAAACAATATAAATATAAGAGAGATGATGTAAACATAAAAGTTGTTACGATCATTTCAATGAATCAATCAGTGTACAGTAAGTTAAGAGCTTTATTTATTTATTATAATTCACTCAGAAATCACAATTCATTTTTTAATATTTAATTTAAAATAATGATAATCTTATTACTTAATGATTTAATAATTTTAATTAATTAATTTTAATTTATTAATCAGTTTAAATTTAAAATTTTATTCAAAATTCAAGTTTGTTAAAAGTTAAGACTTACTAAATAACTTAAGCAAGGACTTAATTAAGCCTCCTAAGGTTAAAAAGTTAAACTTTAAAATGGGGTTAACATAATAAAATAAATAAATAATAATAAAGAATTGAATAAGAATAATAAGATAACAGTAAGTTT